TCGCGACTAGTCTTTTTTTGAGGCTGTTGGCTATCAAAGGATAAATAAAATCATATCTCCTATACCCTAACCATTCTTGTACTACTAGGCCCAGAAGCCTGGGACGCAAATTAGTAAAAATTTCTAACTGGATAATAACTTTTAATAGGTAATAATAAAATTTTAATAATCGAACGAAATTCTATTCTTTTTCATATATCGCAAAAGTCTGAATTATGGATTTGATAGATGTTATTATGAAAATAATAAATTTGTATTATTAATGGTAACACAGAAGGCAAAAGACGTGGCCGTTCACCAGATGGACTGATCAAGTGAAAGACTCATCGTACTCAAAACTATACACTGTCATAAGAGAGGCGCTGGTCAGAAACCAGTGAAAATAGATGGTCCGCTCCAGATGTTTCCTTGCTGACCACGACGCTGAGACAAAAGTAGCGACGAAAGAAAGAAACAGTCACTAATTAAGATGTATGTACATACAACTAAAATAGCGTTAGATTTATACAATCATCCATTTGACCTTTTCAAATGTGGCACAATAATGTTCATAGCTCAAGCATAATTTATGTTATGATAAACCAATCAACAATAGCCTACATATATATTATATACAATATGCACGTGCGTACAGACACAACTCACAAGAGTGAACACACATAAAACCAGTACGTGACACAAAAGGAGCAAAACCGGAGGCTGCGCGTGCGCCGACCCGTGGCACGAGTCAAATCAGCGCGGCACGAATTTTATTGGGTATTAAAATCTTGTTCGGCTGGCATTGTATTAGAATTATTAATATAGCTACTGATAACAATGAAAATTCCAAATAAAGTTACTTAAGACTAACCAGATTTTTTAAATATCTAAAGATGATTCAAATGTCTCACAGTTGTCTTTTACATTATCTCTAGGTCATAGTAGAACAAATACGAAATTAAATGCAAGTTACTGAGTTCTTCAGTAGGTAAGCATAGGACAGAAAAAGCCCTTTTCTGCTTTGGATCAATTCAAAACTTCATAATATTATTTATTACGTACTTAGTATTCATATTATTACTATGTACCTAGACTTATAAATAATGACTGTACTGGTGTTTGCAATTCAATCAAGCGTAGTTCGAACAAAGGGCAGGCGTCATGATTAATTCGGGCCAAACCAGTTACATTCTTTTGAAACATCAAGCAGAAAACTCTAAAGGGACTTTATATGCAGGTATAAAAAACCTTTAGAAGTTTCACGATCGTTGTATTGGATTATTGTAAGACTTCTAACGATTAGTTCTTATACTAGTCTTGGAAGAACAATTGCGATTTGAAAAATTAGCTAAAGGCCACGCATTCGCGAGTTCTCTGGCATTGAGTGGCCATGGGCGGCGGCATCACTTAACATATGTTTAAAGAGCTTTATTTCTCATTATAAAATAATATTTCTTTTTACATGAGAAACCTAATATTATAATACGAACGAGATGCACTTCGCCATCAGACGACCTAATTTTCTAGGCATTGATGTGTAACTTTAATGCCCTTTTAAATTGATTAAATCCGCCAATATTTAGAATTTTAGACCCTAATTTATTAAGGTGAACATCAAGTGAGACTGCTCGTTTGCCCTATGTTCTATATAAAAAATTAGTTTCAAATGGCGTGACTGGACATCCGAAGACATAAAGCCATTATGTTTAATGCAGTGACAATGTTACATTATGAGGAATCATCCGTCAATGACAGGGTTACAAAGATTGGTGAGCAGTGACTAGAATAATGAGTATGAGTGACTGCAACTCGTCAAATTTAATGATGTTGCAAATTTGTACGGCTTTGTGCTGAAAACATCTTCTGAGTCAATCCGCTGTCAGTAATTACAGATAAGTTTGTTTTATGTCTCAAATTCTATCCAAAAAGTTAGGCTTAATTTACACTGTAGCAGCTGTCAAATGTGAGTTTGATGGGTTAATATTAGGCTGAGGGCAGACCACGATTATCTTAACTCGCTATACAAAATATGCAACTTAGGTGCTCCGCTGGGGCAGTATAAAAGCGAGTTTTGGCGTCCCTACGAATTCTTATAACAAAATATAATTATGTCTGTTTTACGACAAAACATCTGCTTTTTAAACACTTTGTAAACAATATAAATAGCAAACCATACAGTTTGTGACACACAATTATTATCTGAGACAACTTGAAAGGTGCTTTATTTTCCTCACAATATGAATAAAAAATTACCACCTGACCGCGCACGTGTTGACTTCACCTGTTTCTATAAATTCACCCTAATCGTCCATAAATACACATCGTACATTAAAAATATACACTTGTACTACATCATAATGCAAAGCAGTAGTAAAAATAAATAATAATACTGAGCGGTCCGGTTTCGGCTAAATAATTAATTGTTATGGCTAACTTAGTGTGTACAATTAATCTAATACTAGAAAAATATTTCATCTACCTCAGTACTAATTATACTTGATAAGGATGCGGCAAAAGTTATCTATAATATCAGTGCATTACTAGATCTTTTAAGCAAGAGAAAATATAAAAATGCATAATTTTAATCATAAAACAATAAAGCGAGCCTATAAGACTTAATGTTTCAACTTTCAAGTGTTATTTTTTTACTTCCATTCACGTGTTGCGAGACCTTTTCAAGTCTATTGACTATAAAACATACAGAGTATAAAAGAACAAATGGAATGTATGCCCAGGCTAGCAATATGCGAATTCCGTTGCCCAGCAATTTTTTAAATGTTATCTATAGCTTATTGAGTAAAAACGCTGTTAATCGAAGATGGTTGTACGTAAAGGCTTTACTAATTGAATTGGTCAAACCTCAGTTTCTAATTAGAGAATAACACCGATTACGTAATATTTTATAAGGTCATTCACCGGTACAATTACACGAAATAACATACCTCTTACGAAAATGAAATTTAAAATAATTGGATACGTTAATTCTATTAATTAAATAAAATCTTAGAATTTGTGACAATGTACGTAATTTTAAGTAGTCTTAGCAGTATTTTTTTAGTTTTAGATTTAGATAACAAAAATATACTTCACATTTGCCAATAATAATGCTCTTGTAGTTTTACAATGCCCTAAATGTAACGACTTGCATTCTAACTTAAAATACTATTTTTCTAGTATTATATAATTATTAACAGAAACTTAGTATTACCTTAATAATATAGTACTCGATTTTTTTTTTATAATACATACTATTTTTCGCTGAGTACTACACGGATCTCCGTGTAAAACGCGTTGAGAAAACCAATCGCTTTATCATATTATGAAACACGGAGGCGGTTTACGTAGCTCGATAACTTATTAAAAATACTTATACCTGAGAGGTAAATAGATCTTAAATTATTCTAGATAAAGTTAGAACAAATATTCAAATTATTAGTTTTACCTTAATGTGCTCCGAAAAAGTTCAACACAAAGAGCCTTATTTTCTCCCAACAAAAGAACTACACTTCTCAGCTATTGTTTTAATTAAAACGTAGCACCAAATCCATTTAACACGAGAACAACGCAAATAATTGTAACTTCAAACTTGTATTGATCAAATAAATCATACAAAACACCAAACATCCACTTTTAAAACTGTAACGTTCTTTTTTCAAATCTCCCGCGTTATTGCTTCCTCGCGGGCATCGACTTGAGCAACGCGCGTCCGTACCCAAGGAAAGCCGGTTGAGTTGTTGATTGTTTTATTTTGACGCCCGCGCGCTGCCTCAAGAATCTCATAAAAATAAATTGAAGAAAGTAACTTCTTTTTCAGTTCACTACCACATACATTAGTATGCATAAAACAGTGGTTATGAAATTAGGAGAAAACATTGTCAGCAATAATCTAGTAGAGTTACACATTCTATTGTTTTAATTGGTCGATTGCCAATATTTTCATAATATTTAGAAACGTGACCTAGGTGCTTTCTAATGTATCTTTTAGGTTGCGAAATTCCTTTTAGTAGTATATCAGTATATGTAGTCGTAATTTATAGCTTATAAATTGGAATGACCACAATGGTATTCCAATTTATCTTCATGGGCCACTGAACGTTTTTTACTTTTATTGTTTAGGGTATACGTATCTCAATTTTATGATACATCTATAGTCTACTGCTTATACGGCTTAATGTAGAAAGTTGCTAATACTTTTATTGTTTTTCGAAGTAATCTCCGTTCCTCTCTACACATCTTCACATTCGATGGAACCACTGAGAAAAGCAGTGGGCCCATTCTTCCTTAAGGGTCTCTTCTATGGCATTTTCGTACGCTTTCACCGCATCTTCAGGGCTCGTATAGCGAATACCTACCTCGAATTTTATCTTTAGTTATGGGTTCGTGGCAATATATCCAGCTTTCATCACCTGTGACGATGTCAAATACAGCATTTGAGTCACCGCCGTTGAACTTATATAACATTTGGCGACACCAGTCCATGCGAAGGTTTCTGGTCGTCGGTTAAAGTATGGGGAATCCATCTGGTACAAAGCTTCGTGTAATATTTTTTGACCTTGACTCATACCAATGCCTAGGCTTGCCCGTATCTGCTGATAGGTCACTCTCTTATCTTCCTCTATAATGCGTCGCACAGCACTGATGTTATCTTCAATGGTCGCTGTTAAAGGACGTCCCTTACGTGGGTAGGTTCATTTTCACGTGTAACAATAGCTTTAGATTTGCTGCCAATTAACAAAAACAAATAACAAATGAATGCAATATACTACATTAGGTTATCAGAGAGTTCTAAAATTGAAATTCAAAAAAGTTGTCATTAGCAATGTTTCTAACTGGCCCGTTCTAAACATTTTCAGTATTACCCACGTACTATAATGAGCAATATTATATAAAAAATGAATTTTTCTGATGTAATGATACTATTTTTGTAATTTTAAGAATCGAAGTTTGCTAATTTACGCAAACATAAACGGCGGGGATGAGAAATAGAATAACAATTAAAATAAATTATTTATTATCACATGTTACTCAGCGGTATTTTCAACACTTTCAATATCTTCTATACTAATATTTCCTGCAAATACATCCGGCTTCATCTGATTCTTTAAAAATGGTTCATGTAAAGCTCTATAGAGTTTTTTAGCCTTAGTAGCCCCAAAGCCAGGACATTCTGATAATTTCTTTTCTGTAGCTTTTATTATGTTTTCTAAAGTACCAAATGTAGCTATTAATGTTAATGCATCTGTTTTGTTCACTGGTTTTATTGATGAAAGAGCATTAACTATCTGAAAATAAATTTAATATTATATAACAAACGGGTGCTCGCGAGTTACGTACAGAATATTTAATTCCTGATTAAAAAAAATCGTAAATCTGATTTAACAGAAAGCTTTCTGTTTTTGTGAAATAAACTAATGAGATCCGTTTAGTAGTTTTGTAGATTAGTATGTATATACTCACAAAAGAAATTTAACAATTTTTTTTAGTATTTATTAGTTTTAATTTATGAATGAATATTATGCTAATATTTATCAGTCAGTGTCTTTCTAATGAAATATACTGTTTTTTAAATAACAATTTAACTAATCTTTAGCCTAATGTTGGCAAGTTTGGCACATTGTTTCTAGTGATAAACTATTATATACATGGATGTATAGATATAGAACTTAAGAAGGAAGAACATTATTTCTTTTACTGTATCTATTGTTTTGAAATAGCATGTATGATAAAAACAGGTTTGTCATACTTTCAAATTATTCACTATGGCAAAATGGCAGTTTACCACCTATTTCGTAACTTCCATATTGATTAGAAAAATGTAGTGTAAACACTGGCATTATAGACAGTTGTCATTATGTGGAATGCAATGTTACACTGTTACAGGGAACTAAGTAAACAAACCTTAGTCAAGTAATATGCATGTTTTAGGAGTTTGACTTTTCAATCAAATGACGTCACATGGAGTTTACACTGAAAGACAAGTTTACCTTTTGATGTGGATCATTTTCTATTTTCTCCATTATCTTATCTGGTGGTTTATTTTCATAGATTTTGTAATTTTCTATAATTTTTGCAGCTTCCTCTGGACTCCAAGCAAGCATGAGGGTCAGGTCTGTTAGCAAACAAATCCTTGTTAAATTTTTTAATGCTGCATGAGGGTCTTTAAGGTCTACCTACAATATAATGATCAGAGAGTGTTAGTGAAGAATGAAATTGTATCATTGTTTTTATTATACGAGTAATAAAGTAATCTTAGCATTATGAACTAAAACTGGGTTTCACTAAGTTCATTATTTTGAATACATTTTTCATGCTCTAGGCATTGGTATTGCCTAAATATTTTTTACCATTCCTTGAATTTACCTGAACCAAAAGCACCCGGAGATCGTACTTCTTCCCCAAGTCTTTAAGCCTGTTGTTAATATAATCAGGATTAAGGTTATAATAACGTACAGAAAGAAATAGGATGCCAATAGTTTTTCCTATTTCATAGTCAGGTATTATTTCATCATATTCCCAAGGCACACTAATAATGAACTTTAGTAATGGATTTCCTCTCTGCAAATATAGAATTTCATATAATATAGTCACGCTAAGCCTACCGCCATAATAATACAGGGTAATGTGGCAAATTTTATAATAAATTCTCACCTGTTTCTGATTAACTAAGACACAATGTGTTTTCGAAGTAGATTTTGATGTTCCTGAAATAGAAAGCAATAATTATTTTAAAAAATTTAGAACTTATAAACTGAGGAAAAGCGACGAATTACCGGGCTGTTCATCTTGTTTTGTTTTTTTCGGTGATGTAGGTTCACTTATTTGGGCAAGTAAGTCATCCAAACCATCCTCTTCCATTTTTACACTAACTAGAAAAATACCATAGAAATTATTAAGATTGTTTTGATTTGTGAATTTTAAATTTCTGGCAAACAATTCAACAGCTGTTTTTGACAGTTTGTACTTTACAGACAGTGCACTGAATTAATAGGCGAATGTCACAAAACTCAAAAGCTCTTGTCATCTTTCCAATCGACTATTTGTTATTTCATATGTTTGGTTATTGTCAAAATTTCTAGACATATTTTGTGCTTTTGGTAACGTCAAAAACAACAAATAACACGGCCAAACGAAGGAATTCGTTGAAAGAAAATGTATACATTTTGTTAATTTCGAATAAGTAAATAAATAGTCATTCTAATCATGTTTTGTCACAAATAGCTTATTACAGGGACTGTAAGAAACAATTTTTTAAGTTTAGGATTTTTGTTACATATTTTGCAGTATACCTAAAAATTCCTAACTTTTTTGTACTTCTCTGAATAAAACGATGACTTCCAAAACAATTTAAACCATGAATCAAAATAAGAGACACGATACAATCGAAATTGAAGATGTTTTTGACGATTCAGCTTTACTTGCTAACTTTGAGAACTCTGCATTTAGAGAAGACTCTTTTTCTGACAGAAATGCAAATAAAAGTCTAAACGTAAGGTATGAACTTAGAGCTATGTCTTTGCCAATATAAGATGAAAGCGTAAAATAAAAGTAAAATACAAAATTTCTTTCATCTACCTTTATTTTAAACCAAATTCTTTCAGTGCTTTGTGTTGTGATGAGGAAATAAATGGATATGATAGACTAACTGGTAAAACATGGATATATCCGACAAACTATCCCGTAAGGGACTATCAGTTCAACATAATTCAATCTGCAATAGTAAAAAACACATTGGTATGTAAGCTTTAGTGCTGTTTAGTTGTATCATCAGAAATTGTGGCTTTAACAACTATCATTATCTTTAAAGAGTATGGGCCATAATATACAGATTTTGTTTGACAAATTCGAAAGTATTAATTAGTATTGTATGTTTTGTATTGGACTGCTATAATTCCAAACCATTTTTATTGCTATAATGTCAAATATAAAATGTTTCTAGGTAAGTCTTCCAACGGGTTTAGGTAAAACATTTATAGCTGCTGTTATCATGTACAATTTTTACCGTTGGTATCCCCTTGGCAAGATTGTATTTACTGCACCAACCAGACCCCTGGTAGCTCAACAAATTGAAGCCTGTTATAGTATTGTAGCATTGCCACCAAAAGATACCATTGAAATGACAGGTAAATTTACATGAGTGTAAATTAATTTACGTTTTTATTATTATTATTATTATAGCTTTATTTATTCCAAACTCATTAAGGTACAAAAAAGAAGTAAGAATATTTTATATGTTAGTAATATGTAGTAATCTTAGTCTATGTTAGTATGTGTAACATTAGTATATTCAAAGTTTGGATCCCATCTGGGTAAAAGCCTAATCCATTTTTTTCCATTTTATTCTATTTGTAGCTGTAGTAATCCAGTTTCCGCCTGCTACTTTGACTATGTCATCCACCCACCTTTTTTTGGGTCGACCTATGTTTCTCTTACCAAGTGGACCAGTCCATTTTGTAGTTTGTACAGTCCATCTTTTGTCGATGTATCGAGAGATATGTCCTGCCCATTGCCATTTCATTCTTAAGGCGTGCCTAAGAGCATCAGTTAATTTAGTTTGTTGGCGAATTAATTTACATATTTACATTAAAGTTTTATTAAGTTGTTGTATGAACAAAATTCTGTTGTAGTGAATTTTATCTAATTAATTGAATTATTTGCTACTTGAAGAACAGTAAATCAAGATAAAATATACCATTAAAGTTTTTCTGAATTAACTTCAGGGCACATGCGAGTTAGTACCAGGAAAGAACATTGGTTAAGTAAAAGAGTATTTTTTGCGACACCCCAAGTTATTTACAATGATATTAAGTCCGGTATATGTCCTGGTGAGAGTTTACGATGTCTAGTTGTGGATGAAGCACATAGAGCAAGAGGGAACTATGCATACTGCCAAATTGTGTCAACGCTTGCTGATATGGGCCATAAGACATACAGAGTACTTGCTTTGTCTGCTACGCCAGGTAGTAAAGTGGAAGATGTGGTTAATGTAAGCTATTTCATTTAATGCAGCTACATAACAATGTTTTGTAATATACACAAGGGCGATATTTAAAAAAAAATCAAATTAAATAGTTGATTAACTAATTCAGTTGCACAATTTTTTTTTTATGTATCTTTTATGCTTATCTTAAAAAGGAATTTTAGCATTAATTTTTTTAAGCTACTTGACTATCACGTCACATATGCCTATAGGTAAATAATGACAATATTAAGAGCTTTTATTTATATAATATATCAATGTTCCAGGTAGTTAAAAATTTGAACATAGCTCACTTGGAGTTAAGGACTGAAAATTGCATAGATGTCGCTCCTTACAGCCATTCCCGCAAAATAAATACTGTTATTATTCAGCTGGGACCTGAATTAACTCACTTGAGGCAGCAATATGTTGAGGTAATTCTCATATACAAGTAGCGGCACGAAACTCTAGCGCTGACCGTTATTGCGCAGAAGTAAAAAATAAGGTACCTGAGGGGGGCTAGCGGGCGCGTGTAGCGTCGATTGGCTCTCCAGTCGTATTCCGTCCCCCGCGCGACAGAACACATGCGCAGCAATCCCCTCCACGTATCGGCCAGCGCTAGACTTACGTGCCGCTGCCTATAAGAGATTTTACAAAATTCAAAATTGCTAATTATCTGTGTAAACTCTATATCAACGGAAGGGACAGCGTTTTTTAACGTTATAGAAATTCTTATAACAAAATTTAATAATATACAATATAATTAGTAAAGTATCACTTATTGGATTTAAATGTATTGAATAATGACAATTTTCAATAATTTAGATTACAGCAAATATAGTGACAATCCGGTATTAACAGTTGCAATTGTAATAATTTTCATTTACTAGTTTGATGTATTTAAAATGAAGCTCTAATCTCAACCATAATCTATGTAAAAATAAAACACAAAACACCAACATAAAGAGTTGTAGTATCTACTAATGATATAGTTTGTATTAGACCTCGAAGTTTTAACTTGAATTTTATTAATTATTACCTTATTTTCTAGATTTTAGATGGTTATGCAAGAAGACTAAAACAATTGAACATTCTGCCACACAACCTTGGGAATTTGTCAAAGGGTCGAGTAGTTATGTTATATAAAGAGTTTCAAACTAGAGATAAGAGTGCCAGGTATGTTATATTATATTACTTATTTAACGGATATAAACGTAATAACATTATGTGATATAATGATTAGCGTCTAATTGAAATATTAGCATAATATTGCTATCTATTGTCGTGAAGAAGCAATGTTCTTTTTATTCAGTATGCCTTATGTGTACTCGCGTAAACCAAAGACAAAATTCTCTAACAGATATTATATTCTACGTCATTAGACACAGACAGAAGTCGAGATTGAAAGCAACTACTGTACAGATCCGAATTAGATACCTAAAGCTAAATTTGTCATTAAACCACCACCACTATGTGAACCAGCTGCCCACTGAAGTATTGCGATTCGACTTAGGGTCCTTCAAGAAAAGAGCGTATCAATTTTTAAAAGGCCGGCAACGCAATCGCGAGCGCTCTGGCATTGAGAGTGTCCATATCAGGTCCATTCAGGTGAGCCTCCTGCCCGTTTGCCCTATGTTCTATATAAAAAAAAACAAATACATATCGCAAAGTCTGTCAAAACTTGACTTATTGTACAACAGTTGTAAAATTATACTAAGTGTTATTTAGAATTTATTACTTTAAGTATGTACCTGTTATCATGAGTAAGACAAATGGAAGATTCTAGCTGCTACATGCAATCCTAGTATGGGGGATATGTAATTTTTCTTTTTTAATTTTTTTTCTACAGGCATCCACAGCACAATATAATAATGAAGGATTTTACGTTATTAATCGCACTTTATCATGGTCTTGAATTACTACTAAAACACGGGTCAAGGGTGTTCCTAAATTTCTTTGACGAACATCCGGAGAAGTCGTGGATACAGAGTGATGATAAATTAACATCATTGTTGGAGAGATTGAGGGATGATCTAGGAATAAATCCATTGTCTTTGGATAGAAGTGTGTTGCCTGATGGAACTGTGCCTGAGGTAGGTTTTAGTTAGCGTTTATATTTTTATGACTAGTCCCCGCGAAGATGGCGATGCGGGTTCAATTTCCAGCGAAGCAATTAATTTTTCTACCTGACAAGTTTAGTAGGTAACATTGGTACCACAATATACAATTTTAATGTGACAAGCACTTATAGGCAAACATGTCATACACGAAGAGAAAATACAAATACTAAACAAAACAAATATTATGATAATGTTTATGTTACAATTTAAAAGTCACTAATGAGGGTAGTTTTAAAAACAAAAAGGCACTAGACAATCACGAAATTTCGTACCAGCGCGATTTTTGTAGACGTTTTCTGCAATAAATATTACTCCCTCCGATCTCCTGCCACTAGTGGTGAACGTTTTGGTATGATCCTAAATTTATTAAGTTGAATTAGTTATCTCTGTTTCTTTAGATGCCAAAAGATCTGACATTTGGCCATCCCAAGTTTTACAAGCTCAAAGAAATCATGTTGGAGCATTTTCAAAAGGCAAAAAATAAGGGAGAAACCACTAAAGCAATCGGTAAGTTTTTTTTTTACTGACTGTTTAATAATATTGTCTTTGATTTACGCCAGTACTATTCATTTCAATGAAACCTACAACGCGAATTTATTACATCTTTCGACGTTTTTAGTGATTACGAATGTCGTGCTCAAGTATGCAAAATCAAGTGTGCTTAAGTTTTATTAAAGTTAATATTCTAGAGTTTTGCCAAAATATCCTCTTTCTTTTATTTCTATGTTAGATATTATATGTTATGTTGTTCAGATATATGTTAAATGAAACACTTAGTTTGAAGCTGGGTAACAACTGACTTAAATCGTTTAAAATATGAGCTTATAACTAAGATAAAATTAGGTTGCGACGCTAACAAAAATTATCTTGGCTTATCTAAGGGTTCATAAATCTAAGTGACACTTCAATACCTGTGTAGTCGACCTTTTTGGATATTATCGGAAACGGGAATGTGAAATCACAATTAATGAGTTTGGAATTCAATATTTCCCATTATTCATTAAAACTAAACCAATCTATTGCTCTTATTTAAATAAAGTCTTTTATCTCTTTCTATCAAATTGTTTGTACTCTGTGTTGAAAGGAGAACGATAAGAACATATTTAGCATTAAGACTATTGTTTGTATGAATAAGCGGGTAATTGATCTGGAAATAATGGTATTTTTTGGTTTTAGTGTTTTGTGAATACCGAGAAAGTGTGAACCTGGTCCATTGTATGTTACTACAGTGTCGTCCACTCATTGTACCGCTTATGTTTGTAGGACAGGGAGCGTCGGGTAAGTTTTTATAAAAATAATATATCTATAATATAAATAATATATAATCTAGAATTATATATTATGTGCTTTTTGATTTTTATAAAGAACCCATCAATCTGGAAATAATTTAATAATCTTATTACTTATTTTGTAGTAGATTAAATTAAATATAGTTTGGAAACCAAAAGACATTTTCATCTGGTCTCAAAAAAGGCCCGCATTTTTAAAACTATACATAAATACATTTAATAATTTCACCTTTTAAGACGATTTCTCAGGAAATCCGTCATGTTTTTTTATTCAAATAGAATCTACATACCCCTTATTTTTTTTTTAAAAGTCACTTTATTTAAAGAGAAAGAATTTTATTTGTAAATAAGCGTACATATTTCTAGGCAAAGATGGTAAAACGGTGGTATCCCAAAAACAACAGTTGCGCGTAATGCGTTCGTTCCGCGAAGGCTCGTGTAACACGCTCGTGTGTACGTGTGTCGCGGAAGAGGGCCTCGATGTAGGATCGGTGGACCTCATCATTTGCTTTGATATATCTACGAGGTCACCTATACGGCTCGTTCAAAGGTAAATACACTAGCGAGTATATTAAATAAATCGCGAATTAATTACATTTAAGTAATAAATATGAATGTGTTTATTCACTATAAACAGTGCAACCTGTGTCAGAGATCCCAGCTTTTCCGTAACAAACTGAAGGGTAAATTCGATAAAAAATTTTTTAGATGCGGTCGTACAGGACGTGAGCGAGGTGGTCAAGTCCATATTCTGGTCACAGAAGGCAGGGAACATCAGGTGCGAATGCTTTTATTACAACTAAAAAAGTTGAAAATAATTTGTTATTTGGGACATCATTCAATCAAAATATTTGCCATTCGTAAACTACAGTAAAAGTTGGTTGCGTTGGTCGGCTTTTTAACATACTTTTTATTAACAGAAAGTTTAAAGTCATATATTACCTGTAAGTATATATATATAGTCAAAACCTCAAAGTTCTAGTTCATTTATAGCATTCCGTTATTCCATGTCTTGTATGTGGATATTTCATTTAAAAGAAAATCTACATACAAATGCGTTAATTATAATGTTACCGTTATTTATCTTGCATTTTATTTTCCATAACTATCTAAAGGTTCGCGGCTAAATATAATAAATATATTAAAGTTCCCCCTTAACCCCCAAAGCATCATGATTTCCTCTAAATTTTGAATGTAAGTTGGCAACCCAGCTAATGTTAGTGTTGCCATATTTTTCCCCGAAGGCGCTATTATTAATTGAATATATATGACAATTTATATAGTTTTAATCTAATGTGACAATTACTTTAAAAACAGACAACTGGATCCCTAGAATTTCGTATTCAATATTAAAAATAATAATTGATAAATCTATTTAATCACAATTTTTGTTCAACTGTTTTGTATATTTTGATAATTTCAGACGCTTATAGATTGTATGCGCCAACGCGATGGCTTAAATACAAGAATACAACAATCAAAAGAAGTGGAAAATTCTTTATATATATCGAACCCAAGAATGATACCGCATGACTTCAGGCCTCAGTGCCAAAAGATGCACATCACTGTACCTAAAAAACATGATCCTGATAAAACGAAAAAGGTAAGTTTTTTTCATAAATTTTATAAACTTAACGTACCACCGATTTCCTCACAAAGTTTTCCATCCAATTGTTTAGTACGTATTAAGAGAGAAAATCCTTTATTGCAATGATGCTGTAACACAATATTAGGGGATGAGCATTTCAGACTTTTCCACTAGGCTTAACTGGATAATATTTCTTTAATTCCTATATAAGTTTAAAAAGCTAAACGATATTGATGAGTTTTAGCCGAAAGCGTGGCGATAATACCGAAACTCAATTTTCTAAATCCAATACATTTTCGCCTAACGTCCTTAGTACTAAGTCCACTCTAAATCATACCCTTAGATCTTTTGAGGTTTGGTAGTCAATTGTTATATTTAAAACGTATTTTAAATGAAAATATTCAAACTAGGGCCAGAAAGATTTAAGGAGTATGCTACAAGGCAGGCCCTCAACAAGCAGTTCAAATAACACAAGACTAGTAGAAAACGATGAATTAATACATGAAGATGAGTTTGATGAGTTATTTCCCGATGGATTTAAAGATGTTCAGCGATTGAGTGATTCTAAAGAATATTGGAATATGAATAAAGGTAACATTTTTAACTTTGCCCCAAATAGCTCTCTTGCTACAAATAAATAACGATACTTGTAAAGGAGGGCTAAAATTGTATACCATATACAGCCAAGAAGGTTTTAACAACACATGAAAAACACCCTTAAGACTGGTTGTATTTCTTTTAACCGGAAGTCATCCGGGTTATGTATTTAATTTTTTTTTTTTAGTAAAATAAAGTCAAACACTAAAAGGAGAATTTACTATCTCTAATTATATGGTTACTTCCACATCAAATGGTTATGAAATTCCACAATATCTTGCTTTCTCAGTCGTCCCCTCACCAATATACGTATTCTAATAAATTACAGAAGCAATTATAGAATCTAGTAAAGAAAAAGGCAATAGTGTCCAGTTACACAACTGGCTCGAATGGCAGAGAACAAAGCAGACAACTATTAATATTGGACATTCGATGGATACAGATATTTTGATTTCCCTTCTCAAATATAGTGACGATAAAAGATTTGATGCGCCACCCTCAACCCAAAATCCGAGTAAGTACACATAAATGGGAAGGATTTTCGGTATAATTTTATCGATTTTCAGCATATTTTTCCACTTTTTTATACATTTTTGGCCTTTACTTTGTGCACTCTAGAATATTATATGCTACAGTACTTAAATAGTAATTCCGTTATATAAATCGTTATAAGATAAAAATCTTGGCAAATAATATGTACATTCGTTTTAAAATTGTATCTAGTAAATGTATGTATGATGTATATACAGTATGCATACCTAAAAATTAAAGTAATCCCTTTGAAAACATTTGATAGTATATTCCGATCTCCATACATATTAGACATTATACATTTTAAGGATTGTTACATCTAATAATGTTACAGCTTTTAACACTCAAGATTTTGAAACGCAAAATATAAAAGTCCCTTCGCCTGCCAAACCGAAACAAGCAAAGAAAAAAGTCAAACCAACAATGAAATCACCAATTAAAAAAGATGGTGATATTAGAGCACTATTTAGCACAGCAACAAAATCTACCAAAGACTATACAAAACTATTAAACGATCTTGGGATACAAAACGATGGTAAACAACCCACGAGCTTGATAAATTTACTCGTTGATCTCAAATTAGAAGTAACGACTAATGTTAAGAAATGCTATATATGCACAAACATATGTGACTGTACAGTTATAGCAAAAGCTAAGAATAAACAAAAAGCAAAACCACTGTTATTTCTAAATGGTACACTTAATTTACCCGATATTAATTTAATTGATAGTTTAAATACAGAAACAATATTAAAATGCTCAAAAACAAATCAGAATGAAGTTTCTGATAATAATAATTGCATGGATGAGCTCCAGAATGAAAGTGAAAACTTCAAGTTAGACTTTGATTTTGATTTATCAGAGTCACCGAAAGAAGAAATAAAATCTGAAGTCAAAACTAATGTTAATAATTTCGATTTAGGTGATATTGATGATATTTTTGAAAATAGTAGTCCAGAAGAAGCTGGTTTAATAGAAATTAAATAAGAAGAGAAACCAAAAGAAGCTCTTGGCTTTTTTGGTTTAGATAGTATAGAGGACATATTCGCTGATTCAGATGAAGAACTAACAAATCAAAAAGAATTATTAAAAGAAGAAAATAAAGTTGATGTCCACATTGCGATAAATTCTGATGATGATGACTGCGGCGTATGTGAAGCTTCACCCGCTCATACATATAAGAACCACACAAAAATATTAAGTCCATCCTTACTTTCTGGTACTTTAAAACTAGATCTTCCTACCTCTCCTATACTCGGCAGCCAACCTCGCAAACTTAACCTTAGTACCAAGAAAAATAAATTAAAAAGTTCAACTCCTCTTAATTCGAGGAAAAAACTAATACTTGAACCAGAAAACATAGACAAACATATGACAGTAGAAAATGATTCCAAATGCATTGGAAATGTTTCGGAAACCAGTAACAGTAAAAGTATGTTCACAATAACTCAACTAGTCGATATGATTAACAAAACTAATAATTCTACTATAAATAAATCTGAAATTCCCAAAGAAAGAAGTTTATCACCTATCCTTTTAACACAAGCAGATAGAAAATTACTTAAAACTGTGACACAAAATACAACTCTTAATTCAAAACCAGAAAGTTTAATTATATTGGAAAGTGACAGTGATGACAATACTGAAGAATACAACGCTGAAGCAGAATCAATAAATATATTAAATGAGCCAAAATCAGAACCCCAGAAGACGATGAAAAATAAAAACAATGAATTTTTCCAAGACGTTAACAAGAACCACAAAGACTCAAATAATACACCAAACAGTTCAAAGACGCCAAAAAGAAAGATGGAGGATGACGATGAAATAATAGCTTCTCCATACTTTAGCAAAAGGCGAAAATTGGACGAACAAAGTAAAAAATCGCTTATGTTAAGGGAAAAGGTGTTAGCTGTCATATCATCGAATAACTTCAATACAAATAAAGACAAGCAAGTAAATTATTTTACGTGCTCACAAAAGTTCTCGCAAAAGGAAAACGAGCCCGTATATCATGAAAAACACGAACACGAAAAATCCCCAGACGTACACAAAATGCTTCAGATGTTTAGAAAAGATACACCAAGAAAAATTAATTTTGCCGTTAGATTGGAAAATAGTGGCTTTGATGATAGCGATGATGATTTTGTTGGTAGTGATAGAACTTGCAAAGAAAAACGCAAAATTGGTAGAAGTCAGAGAACTCCAAATCATAAAGCTCGTAAGGTGAGATTTTATTGCTATAGCGTCAGACACTTTTAGTAAAACATTTACAGATTTTCTTTTTGGAATTTTGTAATATCTCATCTTAATTGCATCCTTTAAACAATATTTTTTTAGAAAAAAAGAAATGAATTCCTGGATCTAGAAGCGGAGATATCATCAGGTGACAGTGGTGACGAATTGAGTGAAGATAGCGCGGGATCACTTGTAGAGTTCATAGACGATGCGCAAGCGCACCTCGATACGGATATGCAAGCGCACTATATACGATCTGTCAAGTATGTTCTATTTCATTTAACATTTGAAGTTAGAAACCTGAAATAAGTGTTAGGTGCGTTGATTCCGGATTTTTTCATTTACTGGTCGGCATAATGTTATCATATGCTTTATTGTTAAGTTTTAACTACAAAAATATGTATCGTTCTAGGGTCTGAACTTTAATAAGATTCTTTATCAAGCGGTGAATATATACGCCAGCAGCTTTCATTAAAACGTATATTTTTTTCAGGAGTCCCGTAAACGGTGTATTCAAAATTCCACAACTTCCAAAGAAATTCAATAATGAAGAAATTTTTTCACAATTTGTTGAAGAAGATACTTATGAAATGGTAAATATTCTTGTTAGAAAAGTCGACAATTATAATTTTATGTTGAAGAACAACATTTTTATTAGATTCTTTACTATATAATATAAACATTGAATTGTTAGTCTTTGGATTTTTCGAATACGACTCGTAGCAATTACGATTTTTATTTTAATAAGTATATAAAATCAGTATGTATCAGAAATATTCCCTTTTACTCTTCCATATTTTATAATGCTTTAATGTGTTTTTGCTTATATATATAGAGTACATTGTTTAATTTAATATTTTTTTATTACAGGATAGTTTTTGCGTCGATTCCCATATCGGTCTAACTCAAGCTAACGATATGTCAGAACTGGAAGTCGCAGAAATGATTTTAGAAAACAGGAAGAAGAGAAAAGTAAATACAAATGATACAATCGACAGTCCAATAGTTAGGAAAGTTAAAAAATGTAGACGAAAGATTGATAGCGATTCTGACAGCAGCTGATAAAGTACTGGGCTTGTTTAGTCTTGAGAACTGTCAGGACTAGAAAAATAGTACACAATTCTCAGGTGTCTTGATTTGATTTCAATAAAAAGTACGGCTTCACATAATCTACATTGTCTAACTCTTTTAGACAGTTCAGTATCATGAATTAAAGATAGACAAAATACGTAAGATCATTGAAAGCTTCAAATTGTATATTTATTTAAAAATCATTTGTTTTTGACAGTCAGTTTTTGGTTCTGTTTATCTGTTATAACCACAGATCTAGAATAAATATTAAAAACAGAGTATGCACAACAAGGAATATAATTTAAGGATCATATTCCATGCTGCCAAAGTTATTTATCTATTCTCTGGTTTTAGCTTTTTCTTACTAGCAACAATTACATAACTTAGATGTTAGAATTTATTGTGAGATTATGCTAGATTGTTTTTCTTATTTAATTTTGTATAACTTTTGTAGTATTTATAAAAATATCCCAACGGTGGATATCTCTGTGATAATTATTTAAGATAATAAAAGTTACTATTAAAAATGTACTTTTATTGCAGTAGTTAGTTTGCCTTAACAAATTTGTTGATGAAAACTAAATCTAATAATTGCACCATTTTAACCAATATACGTATGTCTCTTTTCATCGTAGCTTTAACACAATTTGTCAGAAAGAGACGATAGGGTGCAATATGCGTATTTATGAATCGTTAAAAACTAATCGGATTTCAAATAAAAAACAGGAATCTTATACAATTCTTAGCTTTATTAAATAATTGACAATAAAACTAGATGGCGCTAATATGAGTTGCAAAACGTTAATATATTTATTGTATCTTCGGTTGTACAGGCATTTGTTTCTTCTTGTGTATGTCTTCTAATTCCGCCTGCAGCTCGGAATATCGTCTTTGTAATTGTTTTTCTCTATCCGTTTGACGATTCACGTCTTCCGTTAACGACTGAAAAATACAAATTTTAGTTAGAATTATGATATTTGATAATTTAAGTTACAAAAGTGTTAATTCGATATTCCAGATATTTTGACCTACCAAAAGTCTTGACAGAGAACAATATGTTGTCAACTGTTTTAGCAGTAAGATCCCGGATGGAAATATGCTTTTTATTTATTTATTTAATTTTTTGAAGTTATTCTTCTTTAGGCGCGTTATTAAAAATTGATGAGAGTGAAATTTTACGATGCGTGCGCACCGTTACACAAAATTAACAGAATGAAGTTGCCCACGGAAGATGCTACGGCATTGGACATAATTTAAAAACAACATTCGAATAATAATAGAATTTATGTTACACTTAATGTAAGAGAATAATAATAAATATTTATTTATTTAATTTTTCAAATGTAAACCGAACTTTATTGACTATAATTACTCCTTTTCCAGTCTTTGATTATTTAATTGTACTTAATTATTTGCATGCAATCAAAAACTATTTTTAATAATGCCAAAGAAGTATATCTTCTTACGCGCGTAAATAAGTACACGCACCCTTCTTTTTCTTATTTTGTGTTTTTTTAATGTAAATACAGTTATTTAAACATGTTAGACAGATAAAAAAAACTATTTTGATGAAGGAAGACTTCAAAGTTACTTATTTTATTCTGCAAGGCTATACCTCTATTCTTCGTGGTATTGCAGCTTTCTCTTGTTCCGCGAGAAACCGGAATGTTGATAACTCGAGATTGGCCTGCTCGATCTGCTCTTGCAGTTCTTGGAACTGCTTTATCAGGGAGGCTGTCCGGCTTTGGTACCCACCTGATTAACATTCATAAAGTCATGATATCCTAGTGGTGGTTTACAACAAAACTAGAATAAATACTTGCATTTGCAGAGAAAATTTCTATATTCTTTATTGTATGCATGTGATATTGTTGGAATTAACGATAATTATGACGACCTATTTATTTACATGTGCTAAATTTTATGTATGTATGTTTGTCCATACATTTCACGGAAACCATAAGTAGTATCGAAATCAGGTTTTTTTTTCAACTTAAGGAACAGTTTCATCACAATCGGTTTGAGATATGGATCTTCACATTCATGGAAGGGAAATATGGAGTTTGTTGGATTGGTCATAATTTAGACCTACAAAATAATATATTTTTTTAAATATATTTTACCGTAAATGAAGCTATCACATAACTCACCAGTCAAAACTCTTAATTTCTTCTCCATTTTGGTGCATTTCTTGGCCTCTTTAGCCATATGGGCACGATTCTGTTCCAGCCTTTTCTCGGCCGATTCAAGCCGATCCTTTTTACTCGCTAAGTTCGCACGAGTGTACCGGTTTTGACCCGGTAGAAATAGCACCTACAAAGGAGATTTAAAATTAATAATACAGCATTAAAGTATACACAATATAGAACAACACTTTGAAGAACAAAGAAAATATACAGTTCTCAAAAATCATAAATATATTGCTATTACACATTAATGTGTTTGTGTGTTTGAACGTACTTATCTCAAAAACTACTGGTTCAAACTAAAATTTCGGATAATACATTCATCTATGAATAGCCTAGTGATTTTTTAAATATCAGGGCAAGGCAAATAAATTATATACATGCTGAATACAGTATAAAATATCATACCTGCGCCAAACACTCCTCCCAGACCTGCGTGTACGCATCCATACTAAGGTCTCCATGGCCCATGCCCGCTTTCACGACCTCCATCTCGCTATCAAGGAGGGATCTTGCACCTTGCAATTCTTCAGCCGTAAATTCTTCGTAGGGATTCTGTTCCAGATATGCTAAGTGGGATGCCTGTTGTTGGACTGACCATTTCTTTTCACCTGAAAGTGTTTTTTCGGATAAATTAAGCAGCCTCTTCAGCGTGCATCACGTCTTTGCACCAGTGGAATTTCCTTTCTATGTACGACTATTTAACACTCGCTCTCATGGCGAAGGAGAACTTTGTAAAGAAATTATGTCTTAGACTTTCATATAAGGCTGTTAAAATTTTCATGAACAGAAATCCAATAGATTTTTTTGTCTGTCACTATGTTTCAGAAATAGTATAATGGAACGGAAATCTGAATAATATTTTCACGTTTTTAACTTGATTTGGCTTGTTCATTGTCTGTCAAGGTTAACTAAGTTTGTTATCTATATATATAAAAATGAATTGCTGTTTGTTAGTCTCGCTAAAACTCGAACACGGCTGGACGGATTTGGCTAATTTTGGTCTTGAGTTATTTGTAGAAGTCCAAAGAAAATACTAAAAACGAAATTTTCCAATAAAATCAGTTAATATTCTATGTCTTCCTATGTCTTTTTAGAAATAAAGAAGTGTCACTTGGTTGTCACATAGAAGTGCCTTCAGAAATGTGTTTCATGGCTGTAGTTTAAGTGAGGTTATCTTTGGTCTGTTTTAGAAATGTTGTATTACGTTTTGACACAAATATATGTAGGTGATAGGAAGTTCACGAGTTTATCTAGTTTCTAATATGAATTAACAATGTATAGAATAAATTCATTAAAAATGCCTTTGCCAGTTATCATATATTTTCTTCGAAACAGGTATTTAAGAATAGATAGATATTTCTCTTTAACTTTAGATAATCAAATTCCTTACAATTACAGTTTTCAATACATCGGGAATCTGGGATACATGTTTTCTAAAATTTTGTAGCATTACTTACTTGTCACGGGCAAATTAGGGTCATGCAATGCGTCATAATGTAGCATGGTCATCATTTCAGCCTTGAGCAGTTCCTCCGCTCGTTGCAGGGGCGTGAGAGGGGCTGATCCCCGGGCTCCCATTGGGGACACTTGCACCGGACGCACGCAGCCTCGACGGATGGCTGCGCTACGAAGCGCTAGGGCTGCTTGGCCTATAACAATTTAATAAATATTGTATGAAATATGTAGATTCATAAATAAAAAATATTATGTGTGTATATCTTGTACGGATACTGTTCTAAAATTAAAATTGCAGAAGAGAGACTGAGACTATTTCGAGGCAATAGATATTACGATTAGCTATTCTAGCTGTTACTAATTACGACGTGAGCTGTGTTGGCCTAGTGGCTTCAGCGTGGTACTGTCATCCCTGAAGTCGTAGGTTCGATCCTCGGCTGTGCCAATGGACTTTCTGTCCATGTACACATTCAACATGTGCTCGACCGGTGAAGGAAAAAATCGTGACCATTGCCTTAAACTCAAAAAGTCGACGGAGTCTGTCAGGCACAGGAGGCTGACTAATAGATTGTCAAATGATCATGAAAATGATAAAGAAAACTGAAGCCTAGACCTAAAAAAGTTGTATTGCCAGTGATTTATTTTATTTATTGACTAATTACGACGGAGATCTTAATGTTTAATTGATTGGATGAAAACTCACGTTTCTCTTCTTGGTCTCTGGCGAACTTGGCATCAGCGTCAGCCTGGTCTTCGATCCTGGATTCGAAGGAAGACTCTGAGCTTTCTTCATTATCTTGGTCGGGGACCACAATCTCATAGTCATTTCTCGGTGTCGGCAAAGACAGAAGCGCGCTTCGAACTGACGATTTTAACTGAAAATTGAAATACAATTAAATTAAAGTAAAACTGCATTTTTTTAGCATCATCAGAAAGTGTTTTTTTTTATAGAACAGGAGGCAAACGATAACTGCGGCCCATGGCACATGCAACGCCGGCCGACTACCGAGTGTGTTGCCGACCCATGTCTTAGTTAAAAGAATGCAATAAGTGGGATTTATGTTTCTATGAATAATGGGATTAATTTACATTTTTCCTTAAAATAGTTTTTTTTATAAATACAATCAACAAAAAAAACTATCGTGTTTTAACTCGTGTATATATGTATATTATTTATTTTCTTTATATATATAATTCTACTGTACGTGTGTATATCGGCAAACTTCTCTTAAACGGCTGGACCTATTTGAATGAATTTTTTTTGTATGCGTTTGGGTGGTTTTAGATGGTTGAGCAGCCCGACCGCGGCAGTCGGTATCTAGGTTATTTATCTAAACAGCAAATTAACGGCTGGTATATACATAAACCTTCTGTGCATGTGTTCGTAATTAAACTCTTAAACGGCTAGACAAATCTTGATATTTTTTTGTGTGTTCAAGTGGTGTCGAGAATGATTTAAAATATTAGATATTTTGTTTGTATATTAAACAACCAGTCACTTTACACGTGTTTGTATCCTGTTATCACTATAGTGTTCTTATCAGCCACTCTACGCCATCATTTGGGAACTGGTAGTAAATGTCAATTTACATCTCTTATTTTTAAATATTGACGTACATCATTCAAGTGTACAATGTCACCAATAGGATAACATTTTGATTAGATGTGATAATACAAATTTTGGTTTAAATCAATTAAATTGGAATCAACATATAAATAACAATTACCTGTTTTTGTATTTGACGGTTTTCTGCTGGAGTATCACCAGCTGTTACATCTTCTGGGTTTATACTTAGCTTGTCTCTTAGACCTGGAGTCTGAAATACACATACTACAATTAAACTCTAGAAACTTAGAATAAATTGTATGGAAAATCGATTTGACATTGACATACATGACAGAACTATTAAGTTCTAAGTAATTCTGTAAGAAAATATAAATAAAAAGAATACCAAAAATACTTTACAGCTGAGGCAATGAAAGCCGAAAATACTTTGAGCGAAGTAAAATGCGAATCTCGAGACTAAACGAGGTGGAGGCTCACTGCGAACGCCCTTTGCCCCATCAGGGGTCATAGGGCATGAAGATGCATATTCTTACTCATATCTTAAGTCACAATTTTGACTTTTGCGCTGTCAAAAATGTCAAACTACATACAGGAAAAATGGTTTGATAGTAGTGAAGTCAATTCAAGTCTTACCATTAGTGCAGTTTGTGTTTGATTATGTCCCGGAGTAGCAAAACTTCCTGGAGTGGACACTTCACTGCGTGATGATCTGAAAGATATTATATATATTGATTTTAAAAGATAGTTAAGTAGCTAAAAATAGTTATTCCATACAAGCAATTTTTTTAAAGTTATTTACTGTTTAGTTTATTAATTGTTCGTCATATTTAACATGAAAATATATAATTATATATATATAAAATTTAATGTGTTTTAATCTTATAAAAATACCTGAAGGGCGTGGCTAGTACAGTGTTGGGCGTGGCCGGGGCCTGCGACTGAGGCAAAGATCCGCTAAAGTCCGATTCGTGTAAGGGCGTGTTGAGTCCCCCCTTTAGAGGTGTGTCTACGTGCGTTAGAGCCATCACGTTTTGGGCTTCCATCATTATCCTGTGACATTAATAAAAAAAATAGGGTAAAAATTGGTAAGTTAGCCTTATACTATATCAAAAGTAAAAAAAAAGTAGGAATATTGCTGAAAAATTACTGGAAAGGATGATTTTTGAATTTAATTAAAAATTATCAAAATATATTTTATATGTATATAGAAATCGAGTTATGTAAATAATCTAATAAATTTATAATTAATAAATAATACAATTATAAACTACCTGTCATGTTGAACAGTAGGCGTCCGCAAGGCCGTAGCGGGAGCGGGCGTGAGAGCGTAATGAGCGAGCAGAGCATCGGTGGGAGCGCCCGCTCCACCTGCTGATTCCCGCGCTACTTCCGACGCCCGACCCAGTTTCACTACTTGTTGGAGTTCCTGTTTAAAGTAACATTTTTTTTTTATAACTAACAAGACACATTAATTACACTGCTTTACATATTAATACATAATTTTCTGAAATTTTACATTAATAATTGTTATTATTTTTAGTTCTTTGAATGTTTTTTGTATTTCATTTTATAGCCTGCTTTGTTTTTTATTGTGTAATGTGTCTCTGTATATGTCCTGCATACTTGTAATTAATGTTCTGTTTTGTATTGTAATACAGATACTGGCAAACATCTTGAGCATTAAACAAGGGAGTGGGAGAAAGTTTGCGCATCGTACACAAACGTCAACTGATTTACCAATCACGCGATCGACACGTCACTCTCCGTCTCCTCCCAGTGATGCCTAAAAATCCCTTCTGCGCAAGGCAAGGACATTTGTTTAAGATATTTTGCCGGTATCTGTATTTTGGTGAGTGCCTGTATGTGTATGGTTAGATTCTATCGAATAAAATAATATATTTGTCAACAGCATATCTCAGACTAATCACAATAAACGAAACGCGCTTGTTTTGTCTGTATTTTTATAGTTAAAACTCACATCAGTATGTAACTCATTATTTTATAAAATATATTTATTGCGACTTGAAGTATCATACACACACATTGCATTTATAAATATTTAATAAGGCAAGTAGGTTAGATAGGATGAGCTTTCTGTATCTACCAATTTTTTAGCTTTTTTTATCTATAGTAAGTTTCCACATTTTAGTCTTTTCCATTCACGAACATAAGTATATAATATAGTAATTAAATATACTCCATACCTGATCAGTAACTTGTGGTTCTGGCAACACAAGTTTGCTTCTCTTGCGGGCCGGTTGGTCTCCTTGCAACATCGCCTGGGGGACATCATTCTCCTTACGCTGCTTTAACTTGCCCTTGTCTTTACGACGGTCACGCTGTAAATTATTTATTTATTACACTTATTGCCCATACAAGAAGTAAAACTTAAAAACAATTAAATGATGCTACTTGATACAATGAAATGATAGTGTTGGTATATTAATTTAACTAATTTAAATGAAAACCAATTTGGCATTCTTAATATCCCATTAAAATTAATAGCCCTTTTTAGATAAAGTATATTTATGTTTAATGAATTCAATAAAGGAAGGAAAATGAAAGGGCGGATTCAATAACTAAAAATTTAGTACTGACTAATTACTGATGTAATATTGGCCATAATTTATGTTGAATTTTTTATTAATCTAAAATATGAATATGTAAGAATCCATAAAAAAATCCATAAGAAAAACCATAAAAAAACTTAAAAGCTTACTTCCTCCTTCTCCGACTGTAACTCTCCGTCCAGGTGTTGCTGTCGCAGTCTTGAGAAGTCTGGAGCCATGGGGTCAACAACCTCTTCAGAAGTGTCAAAGAACCCAGCAGCTGGCCTCTTCTCAAATGGAATTTCTGAGTTGTAGTCTACACCTCGCTTCTTCTTACGTCTGTATTGATAAATACAATAAAAATGGGTAAATGGATATTGCTTGGAAATATAATACATCTATCTCTGTTTTAAAATGTATTGTCTGTAAAGATGACTCTTACTCATAAGGAATTATTTGTTTTTACTCATAAATAACTCAGTAGTCAGATTGACTGCCTCAAAACATTGTGAAATGTTTAATAACCAAGGATCCATTATTTTTCTATAAACAATTAACGCTTTGGGTTAGTTTTCATAGAAGGCTGATTGCCCACTTGTCTTAAGAAAAACTATATATGTGATGAATCAAATGTAGATTTGTGACTTCCACATGTCCCAAAAAAATGTATACAAATTAATTTTCTCCAATTTGACAAGTAAAATTTTCTTTTGATAAGTCTGTTAGGTTCAAGCCTATGAAGAAAAGTAAAATTGGTGCAATATATAACATATTATTTGACTACTTTAGTACACCACTATAATACTTAATCAGTCCATATCCTAATGCAGCATAAAAAAATTATTATTACCTCATAGGCACTGATATTCCAGCTGCACTTAATTCTCTCCTCTTTTGTAATGCAGCTAGCCGTCTGGCTTCTTCCAGTTGTTTTTCTCTAGCCTTCCTTTTAGCCTTTTTTCCTTGAGTGTTAGCTAAGCGAGCCCGAGCTTCTGATAACATTTCCAGCTCTAAAAAGCGAGTGATATTTTAATTTAAAATCTTATAGTTTCTAAGTAAAATCTTAGTTATACATCATAAACTATACAAAAATTATTTTACACATAGGTTCATAGACTTTAATTGTGGCAATGTTTTTTTTTATAAAAAAGTTTATTTTACCATCTTCATCCATGTCCTTGGGATCAGGCCTAGCTGGTTTGGTCTCAGGATTAGGGTCAATCTCTCCAGGCTTAAGTTTTCGAGGATCATCTCCAATATCCTCTCCCTCCTCTTTCTTTTGTGCTTGGTCCCTATGCAACAACACAAATTTAGTTTGGATTATTAAAATACATTACATACAAGGCTTATTTTTCTAACATCTCAACTCACAGTAAATATTCATATCGCTCCAAACATTGAGCAGCTGTTCGTCCAATTATAGGTGCAATAGTCCTCCATTGTGTTGGCATCAACTTGGCGAGATGGAGCAACTTCTCGTCTTCCTCCCTCGACCACTCGGTCTTCTTGATGCTAGGATCCAGCCATTCATACCAACGAGCTTTACACTGCTTAGCCGACTTACGATGAAGCAGTGAGGCGATACGAGACCATTGGTTTTTGCCATATTTCATAACCGCCGCTTTGAGGATTTCATCCTTAAATTTTAAGTAAAGAAAATAGATATAAAACAAATGAGGTTTCAGTGTGTGTATTTATGCAGAACTATGCTTACCTCGGTATTGCGCCAAACGCCGCCTTTTATCATGATACGCGGCATGATGGCAGTTTATTTTTAATTAACAGTTTATTACAATATAGTTCTTTACACAAAGCATTAAATATTAATCAATTCTTTGGTTAAAGTGAAAATTGGAAAATAAGTAATAATATTGAACAATCTACAATAACTTGAGGCCTGCGGGCGACAGATAAAACATAAAAATAACTGCAGCTTTGACAGCTGAAAAAACTCAAGACTGTATATTATTATAGACTATGTACTATTGTGACTTTTGGTTTGGCAGAAATCAGAAATATGACATTTCTGTAGAAATTAAACTTGAAAATTGAAATTGACACTCATAGAGTTCAGTTGACAACTTGACACCAAATAAATTTTACTAAAGCTAAATGTGATTTTCGCTTTAAATATATTTTCTAAATAAAAATGCTTAGTCGATCTATACTGAAACAGGCGGTTTTATTACGAAGCGTGAAGAATGCTGCGACGAATCTTAAACAAATAAGAAACGGTGGCCATGGGTAAGTATTACAAGTCGTTATGTCATTGGATACTTACAAAATTTTAAAAAGTATACAATTTCTTAACTTATACTGAGTTATTCTACATTTACTTATGGAACTTCACTTTTTTACAACAACACAACAATATTATTATATATAATAAATGTAAGGAAATGTTTATTACAGTACCTGGACATACAGAGCACCACCACCATTGGCATCTAAGAAGGAGACTTTGTTAGCAGAAGGTCTCGGAGGCCTTTGCTGGTGGTGGATTCTTTACCATATTGCAACAGAACCAGAACATATCTATGTATGTAGTTCATGATTATATCAATAAGATGCACTGCATGCATTAAACATACTATTTTATTCATTTTGATTACATTAATGGAACTGAAATTCCTTCAAAACTAACTATCATCTCTTAACTATCTAACTGTCTGTCTAAAATATGTCAAAAAATTATGTATTGATTACAGGGTGAATGGCCATACATTGATCCTAGTACATGGACAAATGAGGAATTGGGCATCCCAGACGATACTGCTGGTCCCTTGAAGAAGTAAAATAATCTTATCTGGGGTAGTTAAATTAATTATGTAATATTTGTAAAATATAATTGTGTAGATCCTGTTTATTTTTATTTTGTATGGACCTGTTGCTTTTTGTACCTGCTATAATATCCCTGGTGGTAAGGTACTCAAGATGTGGCTGTCAGACTCAATATTCTATTTATTGTAGGGCTTGTAAATTGATGTGACACACACAATAAGTACTTTGTTTTAATATCTTCCAGTAGATATTTTTAAAACAATATATTATTTTCATCATACTTGTGAGTTTTGTAATGATAAAATTAACTATAAATTGTTTCATAAGATATTTATGAATGACATGATGATTAAAATAGCACTAAGGTATTGATTTTAAAATGTCAACGAAAAATGTACTGAATACTGTTTTTTTTTGTCAGATCAATTTTATGACTTACAACTCTCTATGAACCTATGCTTGATATTACCTAAGAATACAGAAGAAACTCCTACAGAATGTTCCCTCTAGGACCAACTTCAAGTACCCCTAAATATTGATTAAAATCCCCTAAATAGAGAAATAATAAACACTTGTTTAAAGAGGTAATTTCAAATATGAATGACACAGTGAAGGCGTTGGACACGGTCTGGCACAACGGCTTGGTTTGCTAGCTCCACCACCTTCAAGTGCTACTAAGAGTCGTTCGCATCGTACACGGCTTCTTGTCCGACCGCTATCGTGTACAGAGAACATTACCGACCTCTCGACCCATCAAGGCTCGGTCCTCGCACCCCTACTGTTCACGCTGTTTACCGGCGATATCTCTAGAGCTCCCAATGTGGAGCTAGCCCTCTATGCCGATGACACCGCTCTCTATACTCTACATCCACAAAGACAATGGTGTCATCGTGGAAAGACTCCAGACAACAACTATAAATCCCGAGAAGAGTGACGAAATTTTGTTAGCCAGGGCTTTCGCTCAATCCCGTTCGCAAGAAGTCCTTTTTTGTCCTCTCTTGCCTCTATTTCCACCTGAATAAAAGGAGTCACGGATCCCTTAGACATAAGGTGACATTGTACCAGGCCTGTAACCAACCGTGCATAACCTACGTCAATACTACGTATTCGCACATAGTGCCCCCTCCTATATCCATCAGCTACAGGAGCTCCAGTGCGATTCACAGCGCGATTCATGAGAATCGCGACCGTTGCACCCTTCTACGTGAGAAATGCCGATCTCAACCACGACCTGGAGCTCCCTACCATAGCCCAATGGATGAAGTTGGCGTCCACACGCCACTTTGACAAGACTAAACATCAGCCCAATCCGTTCGTGCGTATAAGCATTAATTATTACTCCTTTAAAATCAGATTAGTGTAAAAAACCGCCTTCACCGGGGCGTGGAGCTTTACTTCGCACTTTACTCACTTCAGTGAGCTTCCGCTTTTCAGGCGATTGACCACCCCGCGAAGGCCTAAGCCGAGGTCCGAGTGGGAAAACACCCATTCCGCCCGAGCTACGCTCGCCTAAACAACCAGAGCTGAGCAGGCTAACAGCGAGATTCCATTCAAAAACACTTTTACTCCAATCCACTCTTTCTCGTGCTCACGAGGGGATCGTGTCGCCACGTCGAGGGAGTGGATGGGCAATTAACTAAATTTTTGAAACCTCGGTATTGCGTGATAAATCTGGTTTTTTGATGTAGCATTTGTAATTTAACCTTCTTTTTAATATATATATTTTTGTATGAGATACGTTCAAAATTTAGCTTGTTGGTAATGAATACAATCTCATCTTTTTTTCTAGAATACTTTAATTTCAACGAGACATAATTAGGATTTTAAAAGCAGATATGTCACATAATTATTCGAATATAATATTATTCTAACCCTATCTTTGTTTGACATCTGTGAGAAATGGCTGTCATTCTGCCATTTTGTCAAATAATGAAATAACATTTTATTTGACGTCGAATCGCGATCGCGAACATTTTGTAGAAACTTATCGCAATCTGAATAATTATTATTGTTTCATGTTCGTCGAGTAATTAATTGTAATATAACGCTACGATCTCTTACTAATTTTGATGTTAGTGAAAATGTTGTGACATTGTGATGTATCTGTTTAATTAAGAAATGGAGACAAATTCAAGTCAAAAAGGTGAGTAATGAACTTGTAAGCTTATGTTGTTTGTGTATGAATAACTGTTCTTGCGACACTGTTTCGGCCGTAGTAGTAGTCTTTTTATTTCCCATTAGTATTGGTTAGTACCAATAATGTTTGAAATTGACAGATTTTTATTTATCCATATAGAACACCTGTAAATAGTTTAGAAAATAATATCTTGATTAAGATACATATCTTGTAGTAAACACAGACATATTTGCCTTGAATATTGCCAAGTTATGAGTCATTTCTGGGATTGTGATTTGTGATGTCATGTACAAGCTAATAAACAAAACACATAAGGTTACATAGGGCTACCCATACAAGCAAATGAATCTAATGAATTTGCCTCACTACTTGTGTTAACTTTGTACACTTCTTAAAATACTAATATTTGTAAACAAACTCATACTTTCTTATAATATTTTGTTATTTATATTATAATACAGTTTTATATATAGTTCATCTCTTGTAAGGAATGGAAGAACGAATAGACAAGCCATTTTAAATTATTATATTAATGCTATTTGATTTTGATTGACACTGAATCAAAATCATATATAATATCAATATACTCATAATACTATGAGGTCTATGTTTGTATATGGGCAAAAATACTTTTGGGTTTTATTAAAGGTTTATTACCTTAATTTGAGAGAAAATTATAGTAAAGTATCAAACTTCCAACACTGTTAAAATCTTTTATTTGCATTTTATATTATTTTGATGAATTCCCTTAAAGTTGTATGTATACAACTAAAACATATTATTTTTACAAATTACTAAATAATAATTTGGTATTACTGTTTTAGTATCCTGTGTGGTGAACTATACATATGATGCATCTGAAGCAGATGAGCTGACCATAAGACCAGGTGATGTCTTGAAGGATATAGAGCGGTTGCCTGGTGGCTGGTGGCGTGGCGAACTTCGAGGCAGGAGGGGCATGTTTCCTGATAATTTTGTTACCGTACTACAAGAACATGCAACTAATAGGTAATTTTTTTACTTCTTACTCTACTCTACAGTTTAAAAAATTATAATTATGTAGTTTATGTTCACAGATTTTATGTTCATTGTCTATATGATTTATCAAATATAGTAAATGCTAACATCTATTCTTTCCTCCTAGCAATTAATTAGCAATTAACTAGCAAATGATTATAAAGCTTTTTTTTTAAATTAAAAAAGTGTTTAGCTGTACTTCTATAAAATTCTTTGAATTCTAGAAAATATGTATCGCTATTAAGTTTTAATTAAACTGAATAGTGATACATATTCTTTATACAATGTTTATAATGAATTTATTACATTATTTATATAACTCTACATTTCAAATTGTGGTCAGTAGTATTTATACATATAAAGAAGATTAATTTAAATTGGTAACCAAAGATCATGTTAATTGATATAACTATCTATATTTTAACTACAATTTTGTATTCAGTGCATACAATTTGATGAAGACCAACTAACGCTTAGTAACCGAGACATTGCACACATTTCTTAGTAAATGTCCTCTGTGTTTCAAAACTATATCTGTACTAATATTAATTGAAAAAGAAGATAAGTCTATTGAATGGATGCTATGCAGAATAATTTCCACTTAAGCATGTTAGTCATTTTTGTAGTAATATAAAATCTATCATGATACTCTACCTAGGAATGATGCTCTACCTCGGAACAGGACAAAAATGCCTCTTACACCAGTATCATTATCCCAGATTATATGAGTATGTAATAATTAAAAACTAACCAGCAATGTTAATTACAAATGAGGATTAATTAAGTTAACAATTTCTTTTATAATGACTATTTCTTAATCATTGCCTTTTAATCACTGTGCTATCTAATCAGTAATCACTAATGATAACGACTGATAACTCCCGTCAATGTTTTACCAGACTTCAGTGTGTTTTTATTTTTTACGAAAATTGGTAACAGTTTTATAAACAGGTGTGTGTGTTTATTAATAAATGAAAGTGAATAAATTTGTGGTATGTGCCTTATTTACAATCGTATTTTAAAATTTAATTAAAGAAGTGTACCTACTAATAGTCATCAATTTAGATAAACTACTAATGGCCTCACCATTTCTGCAACTGTTTTTGCTTAAAGGCAAGTAGGTTTTATGCATGTCGATTTTTGTCATAGTGCGTGGTGAAAAAAATGCAACGGACTTCGTGGTCCGAATACGTGACGGAAAATGAGAACAAAATGACGAAATTATTAATTTAGATAAACTCTGGGATTACCCGTTTAGTTAACACTGCTCTTTCTACATACATTTTTAAACAACATAAGTTTAATAAAGAGTTATTAGTATTATCTCTGAGGAAATATTAACTCTAGAAATATCGTAAAATAAGAAATTGGTTGGAGATAAATTTGTTGGAAGAGTAAAACTATGAAAAATTAATTTCCAATTTATTTATATTATATAGATGTTTGTATTCATCAAATCTGTACTAACCAAAAATTACAATAATTTATAAGATTTTTTTGTCGATGTGCCCATATTCTATGTATGTGAGACAAGTCATAGAAACATAAGTAGGTATATATGTTGTAATAAGGTTCATTTTTCTATAAAGGCTCATCTTTTCAGGGCTAACACGGTGCAAGGGCGGTGCCGTGCTGTATTCAGCTATTTGCCTGCCAACCCTGATGAGTTACCGCTCTGTGTTGGTGACGTGCTTGAAGTACTTGGAGAGGTATGTATAGAATTAACGGATAGTACAAATTGATGTTGGACTAATGTTTTTGCGACAGACGTGACCCGCTATCGCAATATAAAATTATGGATAACATTAACTCACGAATGTGACCTCATATTTCTATACAAATGTCGCCTTTGTTTTATCACAAGAGACTTTGTCTAGGGCAATGTTTTTTTTTATATTCTGAGTATAAGGGGTTTTGTAACATTACACAATTTTAGAAACTTCCTACCGAACTTCGACGAAGTTTAACTCGCTATTGGTATAATACCATGGCCAATTCACATTTCTCATACTATTTATTGTTTTAGAATAATATTTCATATTAATATATTATGTAATCTCATATTGTAGTTAATTCTCTTAATATTAAGTGAGCCCCATGCCAGTGTGTTCAAGAAACCAAATATTAAATGATTTTTTGTAACACGTTTTAATCTAGCACAGAATAGAATTATTATCTATAAGTATTAAATATTTAGTGGTCGTTTGTTTATAGGTAGAAGAAGGGTGGTGGCAGGGTCGTCGTGCGGGTCGCGTAGGGGTATTCCCTTCCAACTTTGTGGTAATGCTCGACCCTCACAACGCTGCCCAACAACCTGCCCCCGTCGAACCCGCGCCCGCCCTACCGCCCAAACCTGGTAAGTTCAATCATTTTCCATGTTTCATTCTATTAGGACATAGCGACCACTGAGGGCCCTTCAATTGTCTTTAAAGATGTTTTTTTAAAAAAAAGGTATGTCTTACATTTGTCCTATATTATATGATTACTGATCACTAACAACTTATTAATATTAATATAAAGTATTAATATTATCAGGAGAGTAATGTTTTTAAAGAACTTATGAACAATCGTCTATCTATTCATGAACCATAAAATTTATTACTTTAAATTAGTGAGTTCTAGATAAAAATATGGAGGCCGAATGTAAATAATAGAGTAATTTATGAGTGAGTTATTGCTAGAGTCTATGGGTTTAATAATTCCAGATAAATTATAACATTGTACTTGTCCGGCTACTCTTGTTAGCCAGTGTCTATGATTGCTATATCTATTATCACTATTAAATAATTATGTTGTAGCTATATAATTATAAATATACAGTATTTACAATTTTCTTAACCTACATAGTAATAATAAAAAAAATGTGTGCGTGTACTAGGTGTACACACGTAAGAAGTGAAACTTCTTTATGACCTTATTAGAAACTATTTATTTAAACACAGTAAATTTTGATACACTGCCTAGCATACAATTTACAAATTAATTGCTGCAAATTGCGATTAGCAAATTTCAAGTAGAAAATGTAATCCGTTGTCAAACTTCAAAGTCAAAAACATACTATATGTCATATTTTAACGCCGATAAAGAAGTTTGACTTCAAAAAGCAACATGGCGCGTAACGGAAAAATGTGACGCGTAACGCAAAAATGTTACACAAATTTTTTTTCCAACCCCGATAAAGAAGTTTCATTTCAATAATAATTAAAAATTAATAAAAATAAAATTAAAACATACTTAAAAAGTTTGGTCCCTGTGGCAGTGTACTTTTAACGCTATTATCACTTATTTATTATTTAAAGACATATATTATTATTCGTATTAACATCACCTTACACCAGGTGAGGCTCCTGCGCATTTACAACCTAATATGACAGAAAAACAAAAACTCAAATATTATACATATAAGCGTTTATAAATATGACTAAAACTCAGAGTCAAGATTTAGTGCTAAGTATGTAATAATAACGTATTGGATTTGACCTACAGGAGTTTGTACTAAGCGCTAAGTCTCGATTCAATCGTATTAAACGATCCCACTGCTCTTATTTGTAATCTTCAGTTATCTGTTTTGATGAAATTAATTTTAAATGAATGTTAATCCATTGCATACTCCCAGCAATGGATTGACGATTATTTATTTTATTATTTATTATATACATGACCTTAAATAGAAAGAAGTTGGTGTGGTGGAAACACAAACTGAATACAGTTTTTCTGTCCACCAGGACATCGAACATATTTAAATAATTTACTTATTACATACTTAGGCCAGATAGGTTGCCTATAAATAGATAGCTGCAATTACTTGTATTTCATTGTTGTATAATTAATTTGATGATATAAATTGCAACTATGTATAGGTTTTTAATTAATTTCACGTAATTTTAAAGGAAATTATGTAAAGAATTTAAAAAAAATGGTTGCCAGCTCTTAATCAGCAGCAACGTTAGGGTTGCCAGGTATAAACAGATTTAGCGCTGTCTTGCTTAAATTCATAGGAACAGAAAAGATCTTAGAAATATATTTATTGTTTGGTAATTTTTATCTACGTGTTAAACGATATTTGTGTTGGAAAATTTAAAAGTACCCTATGTTTCTAAAATCATTCACCAAATGGAGTAAACGCTTTTCAGTTGACTGAACTAGTACATAGCGAAAAGAAATTAATTGAACTTAAGGATTGACGTACGGTTTGCATTTGACGATAATTTTCGAATAAATTTCTGTCTTTCGGGTTTAAACATAGAACTTTTTGTAACATTGTTGATTAAAACCATGTGTTTACATCATTTATTTCTTATCTCTTAGGGTAAGAAATATAATTATTAATTTACTCTCCTCACACCATGATTGGATTTTTATATCTGCGTATTATATAGGTAATGCCTTACACCTGCATCTGCACTTGTCTATACAGATACAATCCCATAGGTTTTACCGCCACCGGGCTATTATCTTTTTTATACAGTAAAAGAACAATGCCGAGTACTATTTCCGTACACTGCCGTGAATGAAGACGAGTTGACGTTAGCGGATGGTGATGTCGTTACGATCGTGTCTAAGGACGCGCCGGATCGCGGTTGGTGGCGTGGCGAAGTTAATGGCCGCGTCGGACTGTTCCCTGATAACTTTGTGCAACTATTGCCTGCTGGTGAGTACCCTTAAGCATGTTTTTTACGTTGTTAGGATTTTTTAGAGAGCTGCTATTGAACTATTAGGAATTTTTGTATTCTAATTAAAAAACGGGAGCAGTGTTGGCTTCAGCGTGCGACTCTCATCCCTGAGGTCGTAGGTTCCATCCCCTGCCGTGCACCAATGGACTTTCTTTCTACGTGCGCATTTAATATTCGCTCGAACGGTGAAGAAAAAACATCGTGAGGAAACCGACATGTCACGGGCACGGCAAGGGAGACTGATCACCTACTTGCCTGTTAGATTTAAAAACGATCATGGAACAGATTCAGAAATCTGAGGCCCAGACCTAAAGAGGTTTAAGCGTCATTGATTTTATTTTTTAATTAAAAAACAGTCATAACCGTTTACGAGGACATCGTTTAGAACAACATACCGTTTATATTGACCAAAATCAAAGGTCCCGGCTGAATTTTATTGTATTAGGTTCTTAATAACAACGTCATCGGCTGTTACGACTATCGGTTTTTACGACCAAATATGAGTTTTTGGTGTCGTTTTAACAGATTTTGACTGAAATAAAAGAGAGTAAACGCCAGGAGACCGTGTGAGAGTAATACTGTCACCGTCTGGTCTTCTGCAATTTTTTCTCTGTATATTATATTAAATAAAAGAGAGCTAAGGGACAAGAAGCCCTGCCGGTCTTTTTTAATATTTTCACATCACATTAACGTCAATATATAAAGCGGAAGTTTACTAAAAACAAAATAATATAATAAAATACAATAAGTAAGATTATACGGTAATCTGATGGCGTAAGTTGTAATATACCAAAGCAAAAAACATAGTTGAAATCCCAAATCTCTTTTATATTTGTGAATTTTAATCTATATATATGTGTTACACAAAAGGTACCATGCATATTGTGAAATACAAAAATATACATAAAGCATTCGTAAAAATACAAATATCAGTACAGTGCACCCATTGAATGGGCCATTTGTTATATGAAACTGTAAGGACAGATTTGTTATAAAAAACCCTTTTCGTGTGAATTTTATGCGTAACGAGTATTATGTCTATTCTGTACCATGATTACTATTAAAACGATGTAAAGTTGTTTCTGGAACGTTTTTTATTAGTGAAAAATAAAAACTGTGTACATTGAACCAGCAGGAATATTTCGGTGCATACTATACCTTTATTTATTTCTATTATATGTGGAAATTAATAAAAATCTATTTTTGTTAGTGAAAAATAACTGTGTACATGGACACAACAGGCATATTTCGGTGCATACTATACCTTTATTTATTTCTATTATATGTTGAAATTAATAAAAAATATATTTTTAAACTTTAGTGACAAAACTTAAATGTAAAGACCAATCGCCATTGACTAAGAAATAGTGAAACGAAAAACGACTATTGATTTCTAAAATGAAAACCGTATCGTTTCGAATCAATAGGTTTTTACGTCACTTAACGGATGATTTGTGGGGTGACGTCATGATAGAAACACTACCTTTAGATTACCTTTAGTAATAATTGAAATGATAACGTACTTATTAGGAAATGACAGTTGCCAATACATGTATTATGTAAAATCGAAAAGCATTAGAAACGTTATTGTATGGAAAGTTTAGAGGTGTTGCGTGGTTGTAACCAAACGGACATGCAATCCAATGGTATACAATATCTTTCTGTCCAAAAATGAAATCGTTTCGATATGGAATACTTGAGCGATCTGTTGCTAATTATTAACTGACATATGTAAAAATTATTTGTGAAAACTATAATAATGTATGGAAAATCATTTCGTTGGAGGTGAAATAAAGTCAAACCCAAAGACAAACCATTGTCACTTTGTGCTAGGATACGGCCTAATTCATAAACCAACAATATGCCTGGCTATTTAAATTTTAAATATGTTTATTCTACGAATATAGAAATATAAACGTTGTTTATTCTTTAGTTTTCATTTACTTTTAATGATGACAAGCTCGTAGGTAATTACTGAACAGTTTCCTTACAGTAATTGTGTACTTTACGCGTGTTCGTATAACATTTGTTTTGTTAAACAAGCCGATAAACGCCGAGCCCTGTGTAAATTATTATATCTTGAGATATCGCTTAGAAGTAAATATTATTGATTTTACATACTAATGTATAGACTATTATAAAAAGTTTGAAATTTAATAGGTCTGAAACAAAAGAACATCGCACATAAAAGCGACGAACAAATATCATCTTACAGCATTAAAATGGTGTCTGATAATACATGAAAGTATATAATGAGAAAAACTAAATTTCATTATTATTGTAGATCGCATACCGCATATAGCTGGTGAAATAACAAATGCAAATCTTAATATATATAAATTACGTGTCACGTTGTTAGTCCGCTATGGACTCCTAAACTACCGAAAAGATATCAATCAAATTTTCACACCGTGTGCAGTTTGATCTAACTTAAAAGATAGGATAGCTTACATCTCAATTTATACCCGCAATATTATTTTATTGCAAATTATTTGATAGTCACAATTCTAACAGATGGCGCTGTGTTGAAATACCAACGATTCACATAAGCTACAATTTAATGGCATTACCACGAAAAAAGCATGGTGGTCCCCATGACTGGTGTTCTCCTACCGTTTCCCTTGAATAGTTTACTATTATAACAAAAACCTTAGCCACAGCAACGCTTGGCCGATCTGCTAGTAATATATAATAATGATATACTCGGGGGAAATTACACCGTCACGTGGCTTAAGTCTTAAACGTAAGAATTTCCTTTTCTTTTTTGGAACACATTAAAAGAGTTTCTATATAAAAATTAGGGTTCTGGGTGGATGGCATTTGCAAATGTTATATTCGTGATGTCGTTGAAAGATCGAAAAAGTCGAAACTTAAAATGTTACGTAGTTAATCACTATAAGATAACTAGTCAAAAAATTGCGTATCGTGCTAGATTCAACTTAGTTTTTTTAAAGAATAATCCCTTTTTTAAAACAATATTACAAAATCTGAAATATTGTTTAAAAAAAAAAAATCGGCCGATTGAACTTTATTGAACCCTTGTGATATGAGAGACCAAAGAGGCGAATTTTAATTTAATTCTTTTTAAGCGATTAATAGAATATAGTCCTCGATTAAAGCGAATACAATATTCTATTAAAGCGAATATTACTATTTACATGTAATTCAGTAGTCCAAACTTCTGTAAAGCCGTTGAAATAAATCAAGCAAATCTCACTTAGGTATCACTCTATACATAACGTTACCAGTAGTAGTCTCTCGCATGTGACTTCGTTAAAGCCACCGAAATGAAGAAAATCTCACTTAAGTCCTGAGTTTTGGGTCAAAGTCCCGATTCTAAGTGAATGTTTACTTATCGCCCACTATTGACATTTGTTGTGAAGGTTACGGCTGTCGTGATTGCATTACCTCATCGTGACGGACACTCGAGTAGTGAGCACGTTTGTGTTGTGTAGTGGTCTCAATATGGGCATTGCCAGTGAGTTGTGTTTATTTGTTCTTCGTGTTGGATTCTGCGCTTTAGCTAAGGGAATTTAGGGCTAAAATAGAATTGATTGGTTATGGATTGTTTTATGTTATATGTTAGTTTCAATTGTTTATCTCGTATTAATATAATTTACTGATACAAAAGAAATTTGTTAATGTCAGATTAGAATAATACATTATGTCATTTAGAATATAATATTAAATATATGTTGTTTTTAATACAAACTTTTTGCGTCTACAGATATTTCAATGTAAATCTTTTAGTCTTTAGAATTTTACTAAAGTATGAAGTAATAAAACAATCGTTTGTTTATATTATTAGCACCGAATCAAAACACGGATCCGGTTATCTATTTTTATTGTAATCGTGCGCTATCGTTGTTAAAGTTTATATTTTAGAAACTGCGACTTAAAATCTAAATTCCCATACAGATTAATTGCTTTGCAAATTTTTGTTTATATTAATACTTTTATGAGGTGGCGTTTTCTTTCATTGCTATTGCCTTTGATTGAGTTTGGTTAATAAGTAATACATTTAATTATATAAGAAGATTTTTGTCTTTAACATAAATTAGTGAAGACTGTGTGACTTAATTTTAGGAACCACACAGCGTCATTGACACACAATAATCCAACGATAATTAAATTCTATATTTTTTAAAATAAAATAATTTAGCGGCACTACAACCTTTTTAGGTCTGGGCCTCAGATTTCTGTATCTGTTTCATGATTTGTTAATCTAATAGGCAGCCTCCTGTGCCTGACGCACCCCAACGACTTTTTGAGTCTAAGGTATGCCGGTTTCCTCACGATTTTCTTCACCGTTCAAGCGAATGTTAAATGTGCATATAGAAAGAAAGTCCATTGGTGCACAGCCCGGGGATCGAACCTACGATCTCAGGGATCGCACGCTGAAGCCACTAGGCCAACATTGCTCATATTTTTTTTAAATAGTAATTAGAAATGCTATAATTGGCTCGAGGATATTGTGGTGTTAGAGTTTCGCAAAGGCCACTTAAAAGACCTTCCAAATAAAATGTTACAAAGTTATGCAATCATGGAATGAATTTACATATTATGGGTCGTGCCCCGATCACTGTTTAAGATGCGTCTTATCAGCTCCAACTAATTGATAACATTAATAATTCATTAATTTTGTAAGCAGCTTCGATACATTGGTTTTTATTTAAAACATTTCATTATATTATTTGTTGCCTGCTTAGGAGAAGGAAAATATACAAGCCAAGGTTATTTTCGATTATGCCATTTCGAGCGGCTTAGTGATTCACGTGAAAGATTTTACGGAATATTTACAAATTATTTTATAACATTAATATTGGTTTTAAGAAATCACCGATGTCCAGATTGAGCATTCTGTTAAACGAGCTGGGTCTGGATGTCCATGCTCCTCTCACACTTTAAAATGGATTTTCGTTTAGTTTTCATATAATTATTGTTTTGTTTAACTTCTTTTTACTTTTTGCTTTTCACATTCAAAATGGTATTTTATTTTTCTTTTCTATAAATAAATATTATAATGAGATTTAGTAGATTCGTTTTTGTTTTTGGATGGTCCATTGATAGGGAATGGCTAAAAGAGCACAGCTAGGCAAAATTTGTAGGCAAGGCTGATATCATGCATTCATTTAGTTCTTAGTCATCGTACCTCTAACTATTAATCTAGTATTAGCTGTTAGAACTTCTGTGTTTGATTGGTAATCTTTATAGTAGCAATAATTATTGTGAGGCATTCGGCACGTCTTAGGCGTCAATATTTGACATGTGTCAGGCTTGCTTCCTAAAGATATGATGAAACATATTATGCAGAAATGTGAGGCCAAGTCCCATAAAGGGACTCTAAATTGGATTTCCATGCGCTGCGGTAGTAGCTGCATGTTATAGATGTTTGTAGGCTCGTTTGCCTACCTATTATATAAAAAAGTAATGGCTCTATATAAAGTAATTGGATTATTATTTTTACTAAAAGGTATTTCGACCTTTGTTTATTGCCAACAACAAGTGTGTATGAAAGGGTTTCGTGTAATTAGGTTATAAAAATATTGCGTGGCAATTTGGCCTTCATTAATTATGCTCATCCAAATATTAAACCCTAACTACAAAAACTTTCTGTTCTTAATGAATAGTATTACTAATTACTACTAATATATTTTCCGTAATCGTTGTAAAAATCTAATAGTTACATCAAATTAAAACGTTAACCGAAGAAACGATTACACTTATTTATAAAAAAAACTAAGTCGATTTATCTAAAGTACAAATATAATTAAAACGGCATAATTATATTTAGACAGAAAGGAACAGTTAGCTTAAAGAATACAATCACTCTTCAATTAATTAACTACATACAGTAACGGCAGCTAGGGACATGTCGAAAGTCCACAGCGAGTCCCACATAACCCTTCCCCACAAGGTCAACCGTGCCGCGGAAGGGTAGGCGAAAGTCCCCATAACCTAAAAGCATGCATGGTGAAATTAGATGATGTCATGAAAGTAGATGAAGCGAGAGAGGTATGTCAGGACCGTAGTAAGTGGAGATCCATGGTCTCTGATTACCCCTTCAGAAAAAGGTATATCGTAACAGCTTCCGATCCTGCTGTTAGTTTGAGTTCGTACTCCCAGCGTCGTTGTTGGCCTCTTCTTCGTTTTCCGTCTTCGTTTCCGTACTGGAGAAGAGTCGGAAAGGATAGAGAACTGCGGAAAGGGTTAGAGGAGACCTTTGCCATAAAGCACACCGAACTCCGAGATATACTGGAGTGAAAAGTGATCACAGAGTTTCGGAATATAAAGGCTATATTATTATAACAGCTTCCGAACTAGATTTCAGTTAACACTAAACTTTATTAACAGTTGCACAAGATGTCGAAGAGAAGAAGCCAGACCGGCCACCGTCGAAGGGCTCCAATTCAATATACCCAGTGCTCAATAAGTACTCGGAGAAAACATCGTCAATCAAAGAACTCACCACAACTAAGCTAAGGTAAGAAAAATTTCTAGTTCAGGCTAAGATTGATATTTTTTTTTGTTTTGGAAGTCAATTTTTATTAATATATTTTCTACTAGAAGACTGAGAGAGTGAAGGTCTTGTTTGTCAAACTGAAAGACGGTGATTTGACTTTGACGAATCAAATCAATGACAAATGAATGCAATCTTTTCGCTTTTCGTTTTACATTTTTTACCTGGCCCGCGGCCCTTTTGCAAAATTCTTATATATATACCCAAATTTTTAATCCAAATTAAAATTCTCATCTTCTGTTATTTCTGTAGACAAGACGTATATATCTTTTCGAAAGGGTAAGGTAAATGATATACGATTAAGTTTTACGTTCAATTAACAGGAATAAAACGCCCAAAGAGAACTAAACCTTTTGTTAATAAACCTAGTGTAGTGAGTATAAGTGCAAGTGCGGTATCTCGGACACACGAACATTTAAATAAAACACATTAAACACATTAGTATAAAAAATAAATATGCTTTAAGGCTTAATATTTTATCGAATGATTATCATAGTATCATTATTATTGCTATAATGATTCACTCCATATCTTTTAATGACATCATTTGCGTTAATGATTTCAATAAACCCATCCCTACATTTATTATTTTATAGTTATTTTGTCAGCTAGAAATTGTAGTAAAAAAGTGAGTTGTACAATTAGAGATATATAAATATTTTAGTGGTAATTTGATTGAGGTGGTTTCCAAATTTGGTAGAGTTATTCTAGTGCGTAGAGATATTTTGTCCTGTTTAACTGACTTTTTTATTTATTTTTTATTTATGGCTCTGGCACGATTTGTGCATTAGCCAGCGTCAAGTATAGGATTTTTTATAATTCGTGCTTGTCTTTTAGAAATTCGACAGTGTCCTCTATGTACGGCTTAAGCACTCGACCGGTACCGCACAACCCTCCCAAAGGCCGAGAACAAATTTAAATTAAATTAAAACTTGCTCTCGAACCGGGAATCGAACCCGATACCCCTCACCTAGCTGCCACTTAATAAGACCGCTAGGCTATGAAGCCCCATTTAACAGACTTAAGAGAGATTTTTCTTTTCTAATCGACTTGCTTTTCGACGAATTAAAAGACTGGCTTTATCAGAAGGCTGATCTCTTAAACAAATAATCAATGAATAAGACATAGAAATGTGTCTGCTTCATACATACTCGTGCAAATGTTCGTGAGTGTCGTTCCTCAAATATTTAATAAGTTTTTATTCATTTACTAGCGAACTTCGGCCTTAATATGATGTTTCACTTAGCCTACCTTTTTAGTAGCTGCATACCAACAAATGGAACATTTTGTTATGCTACCATATATGTCAATAAAAATACTTCGATTGGTCAAGCCGTCTTCGAGTTTTGAGCTTAGAAACTGCAAATTTTTTTCGATTCAATTCACATTTTTATTGATACAGATTTGTTTTTTCAGCATGCACAAAGAAAACACGATCAGTAAGGAGAGCAGCACACAAAGTACAGTCACGCACACAAGCAAAAGCGACTCAGAGAAGATAATACATAGTGAATCTGTCACCGACGGTCCGGATGGACAGGTATTAATTACTTTTAAATATGCCTATAGAGGATATTAGGTATATGCAATGTTATACTGTTTAGTAAATAAATATGTATAAATATTAATTTATTTGTGAGTTCTTATGTAAAAAATATACTTTCAGGTAAAGAAACCGCCAGTTCCGGTGAAGAAAAGCCCGACTCCAACATCCGCGGTAACAGGACTGTTTAGTGGACTTAAGAATAAAATGATGTCTTCTTCGGACAAGAGGTGAGGAGTTTTTCAGAAATATTTTGTTACTCGCTGGTAAACGTATACTTTCATTCGTTGAGTAGTATTTTGTTTAAATAATGGCCTATTTCACGTGAAGCGGATAGCGAAAAAAAGAATTTGTTTATATTTGAGTTAATCTTACCTCTACTGTACGCAAATACGTAAAAAAATTATAATACTGTTTATTTTTCAAGATGGGACTTTAAAAAAGTGTTAATTGAAAAATTTTCGGAGTACATTTTTAATTGGGTTTTTTAAAAATATCTATGCAATTCGTATAGATCTTTCATTTCCATTTTTGATTAGTAAATAAAATTTGAAACAAAATTTTTTTTACCAAAACTGGAAGTAAAAATTTCAAATGAGTAATTTTTTTTAAATTGCTTACAGTATATTTTAAGTAGTTCCTTAGTAGTTACTAGTTAGGAAGATATATAATTAATGTACATGCATGTCGCTGTTAGTTCCAGTTATCTTTATATATATAAATCTTCCGTGCGTGTTATTAACTCCTAAACTGCTGGTCTGTTTGATGAAATCTTTTGTTGTTTGAGAATCTGGAAAATGGTTTTGGTAATTTGAAAATAAAGTATTTAACCTGTGGATATCTCCGCTAGTATCATATATGGTTTCTCAATCATTTCAGCGAGAAAACATCAACTTCTATATCGAATAGTAGCAACAGTAGTGTGGAAGGGGACAAACCGGATGGTGCATTGTCGAGTAAAGTTGCTAATAATAACACGTTTGATCACGTTGAGAGGAATTCGATACTAAACGATCCGAGAGCTAGCAGGTAATTTATTTCATAGGAATAGTCATGTACGAAGATATTTTGTTGAAAGTAGAATTTTTTAATACAGTTTACGACGACATCGTTTAGAACAACATACCGGTTATATTGACCAGGGATGTTATGGAGCTCCATAACCGTAACTATCGGATATCCGAAATAATTACATATCCGTAACCGTATCCGAAACAGATTTAATTTTATTCCTATATCCGTTTCCGTATCCAGATCAGATCATATCCATAACATCTCTAATATTGACCAAAATCAAAGATCCCGGCTGAATTCTGCTCGGCTGTATTAGGTTCTTAATAACAACGTCATCGGCTGTTACGACTATCGGTTTTTACGACCAAATATGAGTAGTCCCTTCGATGTCGTTATTTTGAGTGTATCTATCTAATTTTGTGTTCACTACGTGCGAATGTGGTCGTAGGATCGAACCCGGCTGTGTAGCAATCTATATAACACTCGCTCGTACGGTGAAGGAAACATTGTAGAGGAAACTGGCATGCTTTAGACAAGTGTTGCCCAACTTGGGGCCTACAGGGCTATTTGATTTCTTTATTATTTGGATTCGAATTTCAGTTTTTCAGAAATTTTACTTACTGTGATTTTCAACAATTTCCTAGTAATTTCTTCCTAAAACCTATCATTTAAGTTTCTCAATTAAAGTTAAAAATTATGTGTTACATGAAAATACAATTATTAAATTGTGTGTCAAAAGATAAGAATGTGTGCCACAGCTGATCACCTACTTGCCTATTAGTAAAAACTATCACGAAACGAAAATCTAATCTAACCTTAAAGATTGTACTTCTGTAAGGTTACTTCTTCTTGTTGTACTATACTATTTTGTAATTATTTTTTAAATAATTTATTACATTCCAGAGTTAAAGCACCGCGACGCAGGCCACCCAGCCAAGTAATGAGAGACGATTCGCCAGTCTCACTTGGTTTGACCAACGGACACGAAGGTAATTATCTACATATTTGCTCTGTGTCAAACAAAGTACTATTCGTCTCTTTCTATCAATTTTCTTAACCCTGTGATAAAAAGAGACATGCGAATTTCGCCAGATACTTCCAGTAAATTACTGATTTTATTAGTCAAGTGTAATCTTTCGGAAACAAAACTTAGTGATGCGTTCATAAACTCCTCAATTAGAGCTATTCCTTAATTATTTGATTAATGCATTTCGTACATTTACAAACGCTTAGTTTCAAAGAACCTTTTTTTAGCTTCTCCAGACAAGACATTAGACAAATCTTCAGACAGATCGTCGGATAAATCGTTAGATAAATCTTCGGAAATAAAGCCGCGTGCGCGTGAGTGGGAGAAACACAGAGCGCCTTGGATGGCGGAATTGAAATTGAACCAAGCTAAAAAGGGTGGATTAGGGGATAGAAAACAGCATACTAGTACAGATAGGTGAGAAATTATTTATTATTATATCTAGAATTATATTTGGAAGTATCAAAACAATTTGTTTAAAAATTTATCGGTGTTTACCAATATGATGTTTAAAAATACAAATGAATATTATGAATTAATAATTTGTCATGCCATCTGAATGTCAATTGTCAGAATTTCGTATTTTATTAAAATTCCATATTTGTCTGAGGAAATATGTGGCAACAATAAATTGTATCTTTATCCTTTTATAGAATTGTTGACTGTGGTATTGAAGAAAAGAGATCGTCACACTCCATGGAGATGTCAAAGAGCACATCGTCGATTAGCAGTCGAATATCTGTTCTAGAGAGTTCTGAGTCTAGTTTCGATGTGAGTATTAAATAAATTTCTTTCAGGTTTTTTGAGTCGGTTAAAATGCTCAATAAAGGAGTTGTGTTGAGCTAGTGATTCCGCGTGCGACTCTCATCCCTGAGGTCGTAGGTTCCATTCCCAGCTGTGTACCAATAGACTTTGTCTATGTGAGCTTTTAATATTCGCTCGAACGGTGAAGGAAACATCGTGAGGAAACCGGCTCGCCTTAGACCCAAAGAGTCGACGGCGTGTGTCATACACGTAATATTATATATACAGTATATGTCAGAGATTATGATAATAAAAAGAAGATGTCATTAATTGTTTTATTGGAACGGCAACCCGACGGAATATTATAGACATCTTACAGGTTGTAAGATGTCGATGTGACAAAGTAAATTTGTCAGTAGTGCGTAGAATCGATCGTTGAGTTAGGTTGCTCTCTGATCGGCGCCTGCTCCGTACGTGCGCACTGACCGTGTTTAAATATTAAGTAAAAATTTCTGACAACGGTAGTAACAATTTTGCAGTTATTAATCGCGTTGAATCTGCGACATATATAGAATATAAATAAAACATATATTGTATATATAATATATTGTATTCGAACTATTAACGTCAAAGCTATTCTAGACGGTAAAACATCAACATTGATATAACAAATAATAAATACAATAATCAAATTTTTAAGAACTTTGGTCTGAGAAAAAACATCCAGGAAACTCACTTTTAATACTTTATAATTATTTGTAAATGAAATTCACGATACCTGGATTTTTTTACATAGTACTCAAGTGTATGTTTTAAATTATATTGTTTATAACTTGATAAATTTATATTATCTTACAATACATTTTAATAATTAGACTTGGTTATAATAAATTAATAATACATGTATGATGATTCTATACCTTATTGGATGATCTCATAGTGAGGTCACACGATTTATTGTATAAAGTTTATTAAAGTTCGTTATAGTATTTCCACGTCAACAATTAATATTATGCACTTTCAACGTATCGTCCAAAGACAATTAGATCTGAACAATGCATTAAGATATATCAGAAAAATTGAAATGAAAAAAAAAAATATGGAAGAGGCTTTTACCCTAAAAGGTGCCATAAGGTAGACTACTAAAAAAAACTAACTTAATTTTTACAACTTATACTAACACAAGTAATACTCATATTAATAATAATAATAGCCTTTATTGCTATAAAATACTTATCCTAAAACTAGAAATGTGAAGTACTATAAACACTAATAACTAATGGGCAAGCCGGTTACCTTCTGTCATACAGCTTGTCCTTGGGCATAGGCCTCGTCTAAGAGCTCCCACTCTTCTCGGTGTCTAGCTTTACTTAGCCACATAGGGCCAGCTGGTCTTCGCACATCATCTTCCCATCTTTTTATTTGGCTTCCTCGTTTTCTTTTGTCATAGCGAGGAAGAAATTCCGTCACTTTCTTCGTCCTCATATTAAGAATTGTATTTTAATTTATTATTATTGTTATTTTATCTTTAGATTTTACTTCATTTTATTTTAGTTATAGGAACGTATTATTTTGAGTTTTTTTTTTGTTCCATATTAGGGTTGCCTGGAAGAAATCGCTTGTTAGCATTAAGGCCGCCCGTTGCCTTATAATTTTTGTAACCGCCTTTTTTTATTTTTGTTTATGTTTTTGATTAAGGTAATAAAGTATAAATAAATAAAAATGTTAAGTAACCAATTGTGTATGGATTAATTAATAAAGCTCTAATTATAATAATATAGTAGAACTTAATAGTAGATACTAAGAATATAAATAATTATTGTAATATCTAAAATAAATAATTTCTTACAGAAAATCAGAACCGCTGAGAAGAAGGAAAGTCCGCCACCAGATCTGCCAACCACAAAGCCGCCACCATTAACGTCTCCCACCGCTGCTGGTATGTATCTATTTTTATAAGAACTGGGGCAAACGGGCAGGAGTCTCATCTGATGTTAAGTTATACCGCTGCCAATGGACACTCAATGTCAAAGGGCGCGCGAGTGCGTTGCCGGCCTTTTAAGAATTGGTACGCTCTTTTCTTGAAGGACCCTAAGTCGATTTAGTTCGTTGGAGTTCGGTCTATAAACTCAGGTTCTGTTTGAATGTACGCTATTATATCAGAAACCAATAGTTCGTATTGGGCTCATTATGTTCGATAATTCATTTATAGAGGAACTATGACAATCAAACTATATGACATAATAAATATTAGGAGCGGAGAATTAAATAGGTTTTTTTATAATAACTACCTTATTGAGAGCTTCAGTTAACGTTAACGGTTAAAATTACTCTTATTAATTAAAAAAAAGTAAAATTTAAGGTTGAAGTCATTATTCTAAAATTAGTTGCATTATTTGTGAAGGAGAGAGAACATTATATACATCGCAATCCGAATACATACGCTATTCATGTTACAACTATTTATTTTTTAATAAAATTATCCTTGATATCCCAAAAAAATTTACTTATGAGTATCTTTAAAGGATGTTTAGTCAGGAACGAAATAATGGTGAAGTACTTGTCTCTATAGAAAACTTCTTTTTGTACATAATTAATACTTTTAGGTCGAACATTAACTACGATGCTCGACGAAATCAAGAAACCTCCAGCGCCATCTCCCCCCTTAGCATCCGCAAGATTGGATCTGGACAAATCAATTGATAAATCGCTGGACGGGTCGCTCGATAAGTCTGACAAGTCCTTAGATAACTCAGACAAAGTAGAGTTAAGGGAAAAGTCGGAGTTGAAAACGGAGAGATTGGAGACTATCAGCAGGTTTTCCAGCGTTTTTAATGAAGTCGAAGAGAAAGGGATTAGTTTTAGGTAAGTCGTGTTTTATTTGTTATTATATAACAAAGCAGTATCAGACTTATATTATTAAAAATAAATTATTGAAGACACTATTCTATTAAGATTGTTTGGGTCTAACTGAAAAACTATACAGAGATACCAAACTTATCAGTATCAACCAGACATACGTTTACAATATATCACATTTGATATACAAAATTATTAACAAATTAACTCATATAAATCTATCCATTACACAAATATCAGATACAAAATATCCATTCCAGGACTAATTACGGAAAACTTACTATTTTGTGTCAAGGCGCACAAATATTCCATAAATTGCCATCTAGTTGAAAATAAATAAAACTTTTTTACATATTTAAAAAACTTTTAAAAGTACATATAATTAATAATAATGTATGTACACGCGCGTGTGTGTGCGTTTTCTTATATATGTGTATAGAAATACTCTTAAGTTTCTTGCATAGTTAATTCAATTCTTTGAGAAATAAAGTATCTTTGATCCGAAGATTTGATGGGATTCTCTTTTTTTAATTTACCATTTTTGCTCGACTAGATTGCCATGAAGCTAATAATTATAAAAACAGTTTTTTTAAACATATGAAAAATTATTTATAATATTAATGAAGCTTTTATAAAAATTACAAATCAAATGTATAATAATTAAAGAATTGTCATGAAAACAATATGTTTATAATTTATTTATTTTTGAGTTTTTTGAAATGAATACTACGCTTTTAATCTAATCCGTTGATTATCATACAATCATTATTAGAATCAAGAGATGAATTTTCTTTTCTCAGTTCAAGCATACTTAGTTCGAGTGGCATCAGCCCCAGCGCGGAGCGAACTAGCACTTTGGAAAGGAGACACACACGAACACAGGAGCATGAAGGAAACGATGCGTTGATCGCTCAACTTAATAACAGGGTACGATATTTTACTAACTATTGATAAGTTCATTTGTATCAAAATAAGAAATATGGCAATTCAATTGTGGGAAATATTGAAGATTTTGTCCGCCCACGTCCAGCCCATTTCCCTCTACAATATTTTTAATTAAAAAAAAAACATTTTTTTTTGTTGTTTGTATTTTGTGTTAATTTTTACCTTGCTAGTTTGAAATTTTTATGTTCTAATATAATTGATGTGTGTTAATAAATTTGAGATGTCATATTTTCTTGTAATATACATGTTGTTTTAAGACTTATAAATAAATAAGGGAGCGTTCAAGTATTTCGTCACGCAATTTTTGGAGATTATTAACCCCATGTAACGAGCCGTAACGTTTTTCTGTACCCAATAGTAAAACGTTTCGTGACCACCAAAGTGACTCTTTATACCTAAAAGTTACCATTATGTGGTGAAAAGTACTGCAAAGTCGAAAATAATATTAACAATAACGCGTAATTCATTCCCCGCCAAAACAAAATGACCCCCCCCAAAGTCGTTACGTAGTAATTGAACTAAATGCAATACAAAGATTTATTATATTGGGTGTTTATTGATAGAACCCGTGTCTTTTTCAGATATCGAACTTAGAGAAGCTAATAGAAGTACAAAACGCCAAATTCACGGCAGCCATTGAGGAACTCACAAACAAACTATCTCTTGAAACGGAAAAGAGACAAACGCTTCAGTCTGAAATGGAGAAACTGGCGCAGTGCGTCACCCAGGTCTAGTGTAGTTTTAATTTGCACATAATTACAGTGGAAAAAGGCCGATTTTGTTTCGCCAATATGTTTTAGCACAAATTTGTTAATTGCATTTTGAGTCTAGTCCAAAATCAACGAAATGAAATTTACCACCGTTTAGTTTATTTGGAAAAGTGCATTTAATGTTACAGCTGGACGAACAATATCAATTATGAAAAGATTTTAATATTATAGTGAATATGCTCAATGTCTGAAGTTCGATTTCTTAAAAAATTTTAAACAACATTTTTCGCTCTCTTGTGGATCTAACTGAACTTTGGAACTAGTATTTTTTTTGTTTATTAATTGTCATTACCTTATAAAACCGGGACTAAAGATATGTATGTTATTTTGTTTTTTTTTCAACATAAAAATGGTAACCATAGCAACGAATACGATACTTCTTCAGTCCATGGGGTCTACCATGAGTTCTTATTGCGAGCTTATTTAGACAACTGAACTACATTGCTTGTTTATATTATGGCGTCGAATAAACCAGCCAGTAGAATTTTCATGAGTTTTTTTTTAATGGTTCTGGCACGGTTTGTGCATTAGCCAGCCATAAGATTTTTTATAATTCGTGCTTACCTTTAGAAATTCGACCGTGTCCTCCATGTACGGTTTAAGCACTCGCCCGGTACCACACAACCCTCCCAAAGGCCGAGAGCAAATTTAAATTAAATTAAAACTTGCCCTCGAACCGGGAATCGATCCCGGTACCCCTCACCTAGCTGCCACTTAATAAGACCGCTAGGCTATGAGGCCCCTTTTTCATGAGTTATATTTTGAATTTGAGCAGCTTGGTGGCTTCAGCGTGCGACTCTCATCCCTGAGATCGTAGGTTCTATCCTCGGCTATATACCAATGCACTTTGTGTCTATGTGCGCGTGTCACATTCGCTCGAACGGTGAAGGAAAACATCGTGAGGAAACCAGCTTGCCTTAGACCCAACAAATCGACGGCGTGTGTCAGGCACAGGAGGCTGGTCACCTATTTGTCTATTAGATTTACAAATGATCATGAAACAGATACAGAAATCTGAGGCCATGACCTAAAAGAAGTTGTAGCGCCACTGATTTATTTTTAAATTTTGAATCGAACCTTAGACATTGTATTAAAACTTTGGTCCTAAAATGTGCTATTTGGATTTTAAGTACATTAAGCGTGCCATTCGTGCTGTCGAGAACTGTACGTTGATAAAAGTATTTTCAAATTATATTTAAATTTTAAGTTGTAGTTTAAATCGCTTACATAAGTTATTTTGAAGCTTACGCGTAATTTTAACGATAACATGAACGTACTTAATAAATCAATATAAATGTTTATGTAATATATAGATTAGATTTTAGCAGATGTAAAATCCACCTTATTACGATGTAATAGTGATGACAAAGCTATCGTAAGACCATTCTAATCAGGGCCTAAGTTTTCTTGGGTTGTGATATAACTAAATTTGTCTGTAAATTAAATAAAATTATAAATTGATGTTCCAATAATCTGAAAGATACAATTCTCTAGTACTAGAGAGTAGGGATAGGTTTTAGGTGAGAATGTAGGTAGATGGAAATTTAATAAGACGCTTTATATGCATAATAATTTTATGACATTTTAATTTTCGAATATTGAGTGTAAATTGTTAGGGCAATTTTGTTCTACGTTCAGGAAATTGTTGATTCTGATTTTTTATCAAAATTTTGAAGTCTCAATGGCACATTACTATTGGTACATAGTGCATTATACTACACCTATAGAATAGAAGTCGAGGTTAATAAAAATAAAGAGTGTGTGTACTTTTATGTACACGCGTTAGAAGTTATACTTCTTTGGCGTATGGAAAAAAAATAACTAAAATGCAGTAGTGATTAACGATAAATATTAAAATTAATCAATAAAATTATTATTAGTAAATACTATCTCCGTCGTATATGAAATTGATTTAATAAAAAACACAAAATAATATTTATTTATTCATACTGTTTAATTGTACTGTTACGAAACACGTGTTCTAAATATAAAAATACTAGAATATACAACTTGAACATAGTTATTATCGATTTTCATGCCACCTAGAACTAACTTCATTCTGTTAATTTTGTATCACGGTGCGCGCGCATCGTAAAATTTCACTCTCATCAATTTTTCAAACCGCGTAAAGAAGTATAACTTCAAAAAAGTGTAATTTTGTCCGCAATATGATATTGGTCAATTAACATAAAACCATGTAAACGTTTTCCGTGTGTATATTTTACTGTATACTCCAAATAGGTGTCGTATAAAACATGAACGAAATATTAGAAATTGTCTGTGAAGGAATTGGTGATTTTCAAACATTCCGTAAAATTGTGTACAAATCCTTTTCAATAAGCGGATTATTATATATAGGATAGAAAACTGTGTACCTTTGTACTACATATCCAAGTTTCTTTATAAATATATTATTTACATTGTAAATCGGCGGACGCTCAAATTTTTGTTTGATCGCTTCAGAGGTTGCATAATATATTGTAATAATTTTGTGAAATAATTTGAATGAAATCGTCTTGGATTGCATTGAATTTTTGATAACACGTAAATCAGTGGAATTTATTTACGTTCTCGTAATCCTATAGGTTGTAATGTTAGGTATTGTGATAAATGTTGCCTAAATAATATAGACACTTCTAAGGCTTTAATCGTGCACAAACGTTTTTAGCGTTCGCATACTCGGCGTATCGATACTTTCGTGAAATGTATCATTCAATATACTTCACGGAGTATTTGTTAATATCGTATACGTCAATACAATAATGTCAATTTTTTACAAGTCAACGCGTCGATTTATATTAAAATTTGTTCACACAACACAATTCTATTCGAATGATGTTCGTGATCCCGTTTAGTTACAAACGCTAACGAGGCGCTGTTCAAGTATTAAATAAAAATCTGTTATATTGACGTATACAAATACTCGATAAAAGTTTTGCTATGGATATGAAACGAAGAGGCGCTAGTGTAATTTAACATTAACTAAAACGAATCTAAACCATTTAAATCCTAAGCTTTTTGCACACACATTAATACTTTAAAAAATAACAACCTTAAATTTGTTATATTATCAATGAAGGTTGCAATAAAAGTTGTTTATTTACATGTGCATACATTATAGTTGTCATAGCAAAATTTCATATGCGTATACGCTCGTACGTGCACGCACCGAATGTGCGAACGCTCATAATTATAGTAATATTTTTGTAGGTACAAATTATGTTTTGCAAATTCTACATGCTTGTTACATTGCTCAATATATACGCAGCTTATGTAGTTTTAACGGTACAAAGTTATTTTTCTCAAACTGTCCAAACAAAGAACGGTACCTGAGCTGAAAACTGTAAATTGTGCTATTTGCTTTAACTTTGCGTTTAGTTGATCACTGAATGTTGAAATAAATCGATATCAATGATCTAAGCTATTTATTGAGGACATTATATTCATGGTTTTGTACATTTTTCTATTCTGTGTTTGGGCTAGAGATGTTGGTTGACCAATCACAATAAAATGAAACGCTATCGATTCCCTCTGCGTTTTATATTCTCATATCTTTGACATTTTTAATGGTTACCAGATCCTAATGGTATCGATTTATTTTGCGATAAACACTGTTTTACTTATTTCTTATGTATATTAAGACAATTACCGTCTTTTAGCTAAAGAATGAACAGGAACGAGTGAAACGGGTCGTTATTTCAGCTGGGTTAAGTGTTGGCAGAAAATCGCAGTCGCTATTTAGAAATATATATAATAAGGTTCTTAAGACAATTTTAACCGATAATAAGTACAATTCTTAAAATTTTATGTCACAATTAACAATATTCAGGCCCATATTCTAATTCGTATCTAAAGTCACAGTCCTACAGAAAATGGTTGTCTGTCGGTTTACGGACGATAGTTTAACGTGACAACGTCGTAACAAAACATTGATGAAATGATTGCATACTTAATTCTTAGACTGGAAGAGAGATAGAAGGCGCAAGCGTACAATGAGCGTAACGGGATAATGATTCATGATTGAGTCTGTCCAAATAGTTTAATATCAAAATGTTAATTCCATAAGTAATTCTGGGACGGGTATTTTAAGCTAATAAAATTGTACATTATTATAACATACTGTTATGTACTAAGATTTGAAAACTGTTATACCTATAGCAACTGCGAGTACCTACTAGCCAACAACGATACCCGGTCCTAATTTTGTAACAATGATCTAACCAAATTAATGTTTTAATGCAATGCCCTGTATTAAATAGATAATCCCAAATGTATATAGGCTTCGCAGGTTTATTTGATAAACCTAGTGTAAGGTGACTTTTTAATATTTTAGTACTTACTTCGTGCATTCCAGATGTTTTTATTACGGTATTGTATTCATTGAATAATTACATTTATGATATTATATTGTTTTTTATTTCTTCCTTTTTATCAACATTGTTTTTCCAGACAAGACTTAGCACTTGACTTAAAGACGATAGCTCTACTTAATTTTATTTGATTAGTGGGCGAAAAACAGTTATTCAACTTTACTTTTTATGGTGGAGTTTGGTGGTGCACCCATAAAAGATTTATGGTGGATACAAACACGTAATTTATTTTCATAGTGATAAGGACAAGCAACATTAAGCAGTGTTGGCCTTGTGGCTTCAGCTTGCGGCTTCGTCGTGTAGGTTCGATCCCCAGTCAATGGGCTTTCCATCTATTTGCGCATTTAATACTGGCTCGTACGGTGAAGTTTTCCTTCATCATTCATTTCCATCATCGTGATACAAGTGGCATGCCTTTGACACAAAAAGTCGACGGCGTGTGTCAAATGATCACGAAACAGATACAGAGATCTGAGGCCCAGACTTAAAAGGTTGTATGCTGATGTTTTTTGTGGATATGGACAAAACATTCAACAGCTGTTTTAATTTATAGTACGATCACAAAATAGGGGCTTGATTTAACATAAACAAATATAACTTGGGAGTATGTCAAAAGGTATTGGATTCTGACATACGAGAGTTCGCGTTTACTCTCTACTTCGAATATTTTCCTAAGAATGTAAAGTGGTTTGTTTTGAAACAGGGTAATAAATATTAAATGATAAACAAAATAAAAACAAATATTGAGAACAGAAATATATTTTATCTAGTAACTATAATTGTGACAACATATTTTGATTTTTAATTCAGGCAGCGAATTTTTGCGTATTAGTATTATAAGGTTCAGTCTTTTTAATTTATCTAAATAATTATCGCCCCAACTTTTAGCACCAAAACAACATTCGTTTATCGCTACACTTCCCCAATAACTAATCAAAACAAACATTTTTGGCTTAGATATAACATGCATTTAACAATAAAAAATTACAAAAAACATGCACATAAGAACTTTGACACTTTATATGGTCAATTTCAAAGTAAGAGAAAAGTTCTACATTGAATTTTATTAATCCTGGCACAAAGAACTGTCTGTCACAAATCACTGTTCAAAATGAATCTGTTCCCCTCCGAGTGCTTTCCCGTGTATTTGTAGAGACATTTACCGTAAGCACCTGAAAAACAGCAAGGAATTAGTTGCCTGAAACCCAAACTGGAGCAAGGTAGAGGAATATTATATTTACCCCAATAATCTATTTAGTCTATGGAAACGTGTTCTAAAAAAAATCCTAAACGATTAGAATTACTTGGTTCGACCAAGCTTCTAATTTTTTTTAATTTTAAATTAAGTACTTCTAATCCACCGAAAACATTTTAAATCTGCCAATTACTACAAGTAGTGGTCAACTATGGATGTTATAACGTCACATATACTTGTACGTAGATGCTACTTTACTGAAGGTAATTTCACCAATTTTTTTCAATTAAGAAAAAACCAACAAGGAAAATTCTCAAAGTTGGTATTTTAACTCAAATTTACTGCTTCAATTGGGCGTCTAAGGCAGCGGTTTCTATGTATTGAGATTGGGAACAAAGTTATGTGATTAGACAGCGTTGCCGAAGTAAATATCGTAAAGCTATCTTTGCAAAGTATTTTTGCCAACATTGGAACATTGGCTATAAAAATAAATATCAATGAAAAGTTAATAAAACGTTGTGTTTTATATAAAATGGGCTAAAATAGGCCTTTGTTTATTAAAAATATTATTCTACATGACCCAACAGACGGTGTCTAGTCATGAATATTTTTGCATATATTTTGTATGAGTATTCAATTTAGGCGAATAAAGAATAAAAAATATGTTATTGTTTCTTTTATTTTTAAACTTAAACCTCGTATTCATGGTAGACATTTGTTGAGCAACAGTTGATCAACATTGTTGATGAGCGGCAATAATGTTGCTGGAAAGTGGAAACTTTGCTTATAGACCAGGGTCGATAATTGTTGAAACAAAAAATAATAATAGTAGGATGAAAACCATTGGAAAATGAGGGGAATATTATAAGAATTAAAGAAAAAATAATTTACGGGCGATCTGAGGTCGCGAAGGGGAAGGGGGTGAGCTTTTAAGGGTAAAAATCGGTTAATCTCGATTTCTGGCAAAACTAAAACTCCTATGGAATAAAGTCAAGTGGCAAAGTTGTAGACAATAAAAAGATCTAAAACTTAAGGCAGATGATAAGCAAGCGTATGAAATAAAAAAACAGCTTTGAATCGTTTAGTGGGGTCTGGCAAGAATAGAATCGGCAATAAATACAAACCTTTATGCTTCCCAAGCGCATTGAGGTCTAACGGCAGAGGACGGGCACGAAGCTCCGGCGAGCCGGGATCATTTGGAATGACGTCATTAGTCGGTCGGCGTACGCGCATGAATTCTCCACGCGCGCTCGCTTCCATACGCTCACGATCCGTGACACGCCTCGAATCCAGAAACCGGAGGTTCTTCAACTTGTATATCACAAAATATCTGTATAAAAGATAACGTAGATAATTGCTATATTAAAATAAGTTTTGTCCAACATTTAAATATTCTAACTGTTACAATATACTTTTTAAAATTAATCTCTCGACGTAATGTTGCTAGTTAGACGTGTATATTTCTGAGGCATCGTAGCTCAGTATGAATGAACCGATTATGATACGGTTTTTGATAGAAAGCTGACGACGACGTGGAGATGTTAGCTACAATTTATGAAGATCTTTTTGTTGGCTGCGGCAGACATCTTCCACGCATAATGGGTATTTTTTACAAATCAATTTTTTTATATAATAGAGGGGCAAACGAGCCTGTGGTACGCCCAAAAAGGGCAGTCATCGCAACCCATAGACACCCATTTTTAGTGAGTGCTTTGCCGGCCTTTGAAGGAGGCTCGTACACTCAAATTGTATTATTCTTGATTTATTCTCAATAAATCAATTTCTTTGCAACACCCATGTATGCTGGTATTCCAGAGCTACTCTGGTGATTAAGCTCGAAGGAGGGATTTCTTAAAATTTCTTTTGACATAGTACATATATTTGAACATCGTATTTTTAGAGATCAAACTTAATTATTCATCTTCATAAATCAACATAGCATTTTATTTGAAAATCTCTAACAACTTAAATTCCAAAACGAATAAACACACACATACAATTCCTGTGGTTTAAGATACTTTGGGTCGTTTAAATTTTAATCGTGTAATCAAGTTAACTTTGCAGACTCATCTAACAGTTTATTTGTTCAACTCGGGTTAATTTGGTTTTAGATGTGTAAATGGCGTTAATTGCACATTCTAAGGTGTACCCAACAAATACTACGAGAAATTGCACGAGTATGAAATATTAGTTTTATTTATTTATTTATATTATCACGCCTTTTTTGATTTTGATTTGACTATATTCATTATAGTAGCCATCAAACTATTAGAGTTTCCGTATTATTTGTGCTAAGACATCCTTTTGATCACGTGACATATAAATAATAGCATCGTAATAAATTCTACAAGTTTTACAAGGCCACGACATATACAGATAACTCAAGTGTTCGAGAGAAAAAGTGGTTCACAGGTATTTGATGAGATACTTCGCTTAGTTTTTCGAAGATATCTCTAAAATGTTGGATGTCAAATTTTTGTCTAGGTTTAACATAGAAGAACATCGATTTAATCATTCAAAAGATTATTTGGATAGTTCTTCGTTAAAAGGTACTATTGACGGCTACATGAAAAATCATACATAATTTGAAAATTTGCGGAAATCATCAACCATATTTAATAATAAAAAAAAGTATACATTAAAAATACAATGCGTTGCAATATATCTAAATTAACTTAGTTTAGTCATAATTTCGGGTTTACCTAGAAAAAAGTTATAGTATATATACTATAAATCGTTAGTTAACACAGAAACAGAAAGCTGTTACCAGCATCAGATTAGAGCTGTAAGCCTTAAGTAAATTTACACTTAACTAGTACGAAGATAGATTAAATTAAGTTATATGATATATTTAGACTTCAGGCCCTTTGTGTTTTGATAAAAATGTAATAAAGTTTTACGTCTGATATATGTTTTAATCGTTTCTAACCGTGTTATATAAACAAATATTTGCAGTTACATACTTGTCATATTTAAATATACGAAAAATTTTCTAAACATCTGGCCATTTATTTTTCATATTAATATAATGTTAAAAAATATTATAACAAGTAAAGTACATGTAGGTAATCACATCGAGTAATCATGAAACCCAACATCAAAACGACGCTATAAAGCGTTATCGTTATGTTTTTCTTTCTAATTTGTATAAAAGCCTACCTCACGTAACTTGCAATACAATACACTTTAAAATGTTCTCCTAAGCAATTCAACTGTTCTTGCTTGCTCTCGTAATTGCTACCGGATATGCAGGAGATATTATAGTTGACCTGATGAAGACCTGGGTTAGCTGTTATAGTTTGGTTTATGTATCGAGTCCTACATAAAACAAAATCGACAAATCAGTCACACTGCGGGAGTGTATCCATTTCCCCGGTTATATATAGATTTATTTGCAATTCCAAAGATAACAAAAGAATTATGCAAAAAAGTCGGTATCATTATCACTAATGACTGAAGATACATCGGATCCTAACTTTAGTTTACGATCCGACGCGATATCATAATGTAAATAAATTATAATCTTTGTTAAAATTACTTGTTGTTACATTTAGAAAGAATGCATTGTTTCTGTTAGAATATGTATTTTGGAACCCAACCAATTTTTAGTACTTAATTATGTCTCGAGAGGTCTTTTAATTACTTCTATTATTTTTGCACAAAATGTCGTACTTGTTTTAATCTCAGAATAATTTGTATTAATTAAATATTCCTTTTATTACAACATCCACGTACATTCTAAGAGTTTCCAACATAACCATTGTTTAGCCTCTTTAATTATTTTCAAAAAACTACAGTTACTAAAGATATTACGACGGAATCTAAATGTTATTTTTATTATTAACTCAAAACCATTCTGATTTTTTTACATGTTTATATATATACATGGCAAAGGGAACAGAAGTGGAGAAAGTAAGTACTAAAACCAAGGTACAGAAACCCCAAAAGAGGAAGACAATTTAGAAGGTGGATAAAGCATATAAAGGAAACAGCAGATGGTACGTGCCGGGAGGAAAAAAAGGGCACACATAGATATATGTACCTATATACACACATAAAGTTACAAATATAAGTGTAATCTATGAATGGACGAGAGCAGTGTTGGCCTAGTGGCTTCAGCGTGCGACTCTCATACCTGAGGTCGTAGGTTCGTTCCCCAGCTGTGCACCAATGGACTTTCTTTCTATGTGCGCATTTAACTTTTGCTTGAACGGTGAAGGAAAACATCGTGAGGAAACCGACATGTCTTAGACCCAAAAAGTCGACGGCATGTGTCAGGCAATGGAGGCTGATCACTTACTAGCCTATTAGATTTAAAAATGATCATGAAATAGATTCAGTAATCTGAGGACAAGACCTAAAGAGATATCGCGCCACTGATTTTTTTTAATGAATGGACGAGTATTGTAGTACAATGTAAAATGTTAAATTAAGTTCGTAAAATTAATAAGCGGCTCTGTGCTATAATTATTCGATGATTTCGTAATAGGAAATCTACCAAACCGGTTTAAAACTTCTATTAAATTTACTGACCGGTTATTGATTGTCTAGCAAGTTGGTTAATTATTATAGCATAACTTCCTTCAAGTATAAATGTGTAATTTTAATTTTAAAAAGATATTCCCTATTAAACATTATTTTTAGGCTTCACGCAAAATCTTCTTTAACTAGAGGTGGAAATACATTTTAAATTGAATTTGCGCTCTAATATCATACCAGGGTTAACAATCCTTTTAAGGAAACGCTTAGCTATGAGCACCTGTATATTAAGCTTGACTCTGTCAAGCCGGGATTAAATTGTATGTAACTTTCACTTCCAGAATGAAAATTTTATATTTTTAGAGGTGATACTAATCGCACTTGCAAAAGTGTATCCTATCACATTTGCACAAATTAAACTCATTTTAAAAATAAGCGGAAAATATGAAGTGAAATTTAAAATTACGTCCGCCCAAGACAGTATTTCATGAATTTTCAATTTAAAAAACGCGAGCTAGCACATTTCTGAGATGGCATCGCACTTATATTTAAAATATAATTATAATTTGTACTCGTAATTTATGCAGAGTCACGGCGTCTTTATGTGAAATTGACAGGGTTCAAACCATTCATAACGGTGACAATGGAAGTGAATTAACTACTAATTCTTGCATTTCTTGCTTCATTAAATTTGTGGGTGTAATGCAACTCCAAAATTCTTAGCTATTTAAAGAAGTAGAGAACAATCTTGGCACTTATTCTCGACCATGATACGTCCTTGATTTAGGAATCTTTTATTGACATTTTATATAAATTAAAAAAAACTAATAACACCCTTGTCCTTGGCCTTAGAAAGACATAGACATAACGTTTATCACTAACAAAAAACACACAAAATAACAATAATAAAAGAAAAAAAAGAAAAATAATGAGAGATAACAATTTTTTTCTCTTTTAAAGAATAAGGTACGTTTTAAGTGTGTAATGTGTGTGTTTTGTGGTTGTGATTGGCCCTGGCTCAGCATAATGTCGAGGAGCAGAATGTTCCATAGCGCTGGTCATTCTGCCAGAGACAACAGCAGCTAGTTTGTCGCATAAAAAGAAAAATAATGTAATAATTCTAATACTTAGTAGAAAAAGAATATTAGTATAAGTTAGCAGTGTAAGTATTGAAGTCTTGTGTAAAAGTGTTTAGTAAATAAAATTAAAAAACGAAAATAAGAATAATTGTTAAGAAATAGATAAATATATATTTATGGGCGGATTAAAAACTAGATTTAGGGAGATTTTGTTGAGTAAATAGATGTCTTTTAGAAAATTTGATTTATAATGGTTCTGTTATTAGTTTTTACCACAGCCATCTAAGCTTAGTTTCCTCACAATGTTTTCCTTCACTGTGTTAATTGCATATGAAAAGAAAAACCCACAGGTACACATGCGTGATTTGAATGTACGACCTCAGGTTTTAAGCCGCGCACTTATTACTGAACACCCGCCCTTACTTAGATCTGTTTGAAGCAAATTCTCTTTAACGTGAACTAATTCATCTTAATGACTACTAAGCGTTAAGTTTTAATTAACGACTCTGGGGACTGTATAACAAATTATATTATATATCTTATATATGGGCGGCGGTATCACTTAACATCAGGTGAGGCTCCTGCCCGTTTGGCAGTAAATTGCCCGCAAAATTCTCGTGTCACAATGTTCGTTCCCATACTCCTCCGAAACGACTCGACTGATTCTTATGAAATGTTTTAAGCATATTTAGTAAGTCTGAGAATCGGATACTATCTTTCAAAGTCCTAAATGTTAAGGGTGGTCCACCCCTAAATTTTTAATTTTTAGATAAAATCTTTTGTTTTTATGATACAGCATATAAAAATAGATACGACCCTTAATTTTCACCCCTCTATGATTAACCTCTATTTTTTATTTGTTAATTAAAAACTTATGAATTGAACTCTAAGATTTATACATAGAGAAAAAAAGTTTTCATTCCAGAAAAACTAACAGTCTCTGGGTTAGCATAGCAAAATGTTCCATGTTGGTATGTACTAAAAAGGTAGGCTAAGTAAAATCATATTAATGAAAACGAAGTTCGCGGGGGCACCTAGTAGAGCTATAAACGTGAACGGCTCATCTATTTAATTACCAAGATCAGCATTCACGACATTGATCGACGACGATGATTTGCTAATATTCAATTTAAGTATAATATTAGCAAATTATTTTGGTATTGATTAACCATTAAAGTTATATATACGGCTCAAAACAATTAGCGGAACAAGATTTTTCTCCTTTCTATTGCTTAAACTAAAATTAGATTTAAATTAACTTGTACGCTATTTTTTACCTTGTTAATTACTACAATTAATAAAAAAAATCAATTTGTATTTTTTTTAATAAAAAAAAATTAAAATGTGCATTGTAGACGAAAAACTAATTGGTGATAAAAAAGGTCCATCAAAGAAATATTCTTATATCGTTTGAATATTCGTCTTTAGTGACTTTCAGTAACGTGTAGGCCACACACGTGAGCCCTAATCACGGCTTGACAACGACGCGGCATGCTTCGTATGATCCTCCGAATATCTTCTTGTGGAATTCGCTCCCATTCTTCAATCAACGCTTCAGTGAGCTGCTGCAGTGTTTGAGGTGCAATCGGACGCTTTCAGATGCGCCTGTCAAGCAAGTCCCAAATGTGTTCAATTGGATTTAGGTCAGGGCTCATGGAAGGCCACTCCATTACACGGATTTCCTGCTGTCGTAAGTAATCTGACGTGATGGCTGCAGTATGCGGCCTGGCATTATCTTGCATTAAAAGAAAATCTGGGCCCATACCATATGCTGCGGGCCAAACATGATCTTCGAGCACATTTTCAATGTAAGTTTGAGCACACAAGCGCCCGGGAACAACGACGAGATCTGTGCGCTCGTCCAAACTAACTCCGCCCCAAACCATCACAGAGCCACATCCAAATTTGTCATATTCCTGGACTGCTGCTGCACTGTATCGCTCGCCTGGGCGTCTGTAAACACGGAGACGACCATCGCAACGTGTTAGACGGAATCGTGATTCGTCAGTAAAAAGCACTGGCCTCCAATGTCGAAGTTGCCAATTAGCGTGATTTTGCGCGAACTGTCGGCGAGCTTGAAATGTTATATTGTTAGACGCACAGCCCGAACTGGTCGGCGTGATCTCAAATTGGCTTCCAACAACCTATTTCTTACCGTCTGGTCGGAAATTTCTACACCAGTAGCCGTCCTTAGTGTATTTTGTAGATCTCTTGCAGTTGTGGTGCGGTTACGTTAAGCACAGCAAAGCGATAGCTCGGGAGACATGCAATTCAGTCAGATCTGGCATTATGACCTAAACTCACTCGCTTCAATGAATAACAATACTCAAAAGGCTCACTTCAATTTCTATTAATGTACTCAAAAGATTGAAAAAAACTACTTAAAATGTGTTTTCTGTGAGTAGAAAGTAATGACAATTCAAAGACGTCACTTTGTTTTTAGGTGTTTCTAGACACACTGCCACTTTATTATAGGACTACTAACCAAAACGCCTATGCTCTTTTGTTTTTTATTTTCTTCGACAATGCCTTAACATTATCTAGTGGCCAGTAATAATTAAAACCTTAAGTAAAAAGTTTAGTTCTACTTTAAAGTTTTGTTCCCGTAATTGTTTTGAGCAGTATATATTAAAAGCGAAGATTACCTTATAGAAATTTTATTTTTAAAATCAAAATTTCATAAAGAGAATTTATGAAATATTAGTATTTTATATTTTATTGAAATCTCAAACGACGAATTGTAATTTAAAATGCCACGTGTTTTTACTATCGAAGAAATAAATTGAAAAAAATAATAATTATTATTTGTATTCATTTTCAACACTTTTAATATTTTTATGACAATTAAATTTATTAAATTCCAAACATATGTTCCTTTTTTCCTCCCTCTAATGGTGCGTTCCACTAAGCGCTCACGACGATCAAAATTCTCCTTTAGCCATTCCACATACCGACCGCGGTCGTCGTGGTCACGGCGAAAACGTCACTCATGACGTCATGACTAATGCTCACGCAAGGCTCACAACGACCCATCTAAAGAGGTGGGTCAAAGTGAACGTTGAGAATAATTCGGCGCAATTTTTGAAATATGATATTCAAAGCTTAAAGATGGCGACAAGAAAAATAACATTATATGATTCTGAAAGAGAAATTGTTGTAGAAGCTATCATTTCTGAAGCTGAAGCTGCTCGTGCAGAAAGAGGTAAATATAATTATGCAATATAAGTTTAATACAATTGATTTTAGTTTATATTCAACAGCTTCCATTTGTAATATTTACATGAACGCCCGAAACGCTCCATAATCTATTCCACTTGAGTTAACCACAGTAACATTCACAATCAAGTGGAATGGGGAAATCAGCGGTCGTGAGCGTGAGCGTTGTGAACGCTTAGTGGAACGCACCAAAAGAAGTTTCACTTCTGACATGTGTACTTTGTACGCACGCACTTTTTTTTGAAAATGTAATCCACTTAGACGTGACACTGTATGTTAATTATTTCTTTTTTTTATAAAGAATAATGTAAAATTCATAGTTGCAATATTTGTGAATATCAGAACACCATGTATCTACATAATAAGCTGCTGATGCATTGTTTTTTAAAACACCATGCGCTTTTTTTATTTTAGTTTAGTAATTTATTTTGTTCTATAATTATCAAATCAATGTATACAAAATATTGTAAAAACTATTTTAAAAGAATAAGTATGGAGTTTCTTGCCCATTCTTCTCCATATGAAACTACCTTTTGGGAGTGGCAACTAGAGTAATTTTTCACTTTTTGTCACTTTCAAAGGCTTTAAATAGGCCTAATTGACGACTCATTGGTCTAGTGGTTAGTACCCCTGACTGCGAATCCATGGGTCCCGGGTTCGATCCCCGGCTGAGACGAACATCGATGTGATGAGCATTTGGTGTTGTGCTTTGGTCTTGGGTGTTTAAATATGTATGTATATCCGTTGCCTAGTACCCATAACACAAGCTTCACCAGCTTAGCATGGGACTAGGTCAATTGGTGTGAATTGTCTTTAAAAAAATTGAAATAAATTATTTGACTTTGACGTAGTTCGTTAAAATCTTAACCTAATTCTCTTAAATAGAAATTACGAGATAAAGATCACATTATAGACATCTATAAATAATATTTTGTTTAAAAAATTTACCTTTCATGTCTGCCACCGAAGATTATCAGATTCTAATATATATTTCCTTTGTCATGAATTACGAAAGTCCCAAATATGATCAGTAATTTTAGATAACATCGCGGATCTGACATAATATTTAAAAGCTTTTTACGCATTAAATACTTATACTAACTTATAGCTACCTATATTAAGCTTTAGAGTTTCTTTTTCGTTGAACGAGATTATGTCAGGAACTCTTGTGTATAAATCTTTTGTGTTGGATAATCCATTTACCGATGTCGCAGCCAACTAGCTTAATTAGCCGTTCAATTAACAGTCTACTAAACAGCGCCGTTTAACAAGCGGCCTGAAAGATATTCAGCCATTTGATGAAACAGCTAGGCAAAACTTGAATCGATGACGTTACATTACTTGCCTATCCTGTTCATTTCAACTTAGTTTCACTTTCAGCCACCTACTCCAAACTATCAATAAAGTCGGCAAACAACAAATGTGATGATGTTTTTCAAAATTAAATGAAAAATTGTATGGAAGAGTGTAGTGACACTAATAAGTTACATTTTAAATATTTATTTTACTAAAGAATTTCTTACGTTCTATATCTAACGAATCATAGATATTTCAGCTTTTTTATTTGTCACACACATGATCGTACGAATGGACTAAGCGTTAGCCAGCCTGTTTATTAAATAAGAAATTCTAAGGCTGCTAGTTACACGGCGCTGTTTAGTAAAAAGGCTAGGCTGTTAATTGAACGGCTAATTAAGCTAGTTGGCTGCGACATCGACATCACGATGCTACCAAAAGTAGAATCGATTAAGGATTTGATAAGTATATGTATTGATCCAGTGGCGCTACAACGTTATGTATAGTTTTTTTCTATTTATTTCTAGTAAGTAGGTGATTATCCTTCTGTGCCTGAAACCGTGTAGATTTATAACACATGCCGATTTCCTCACTATATTTGCGACCGCAGGGAACAGCACATTGAATGAAAATCCGTTCATGCAAGCAATAAATCTAATAATTTTATAAATAGAGGAATGAATCAACTTTATAAAATGTATCTCCCATAAGCCCTATAAAAAGTATTAATACTAAGATTATCCATAGCGCTAAATCATCTGCATCATGAGCACACCCCACATACACCCTCACTTTTACACCACACAACACAGCCAAATTAGGTATCACTTATTTATTTATACTTTATTACCTTATTCAAAAACATACACATATTAAAAATAAAGAGCAGGTTACAAAAGTTATAAGGCAACGGGCGGCGGTATCACTTAGTTAAATGTATTGAATAATTTTTATTGTTTGTTCCCTTTTGTACATTTTTGAACTTCTTTGTAGGTAAATATTATGTATTCCACCTCTGGCTATATTTTTAGTGTAACTGTTTTTTATCATTATAATTTTACACTGTAGATAACATATGATGTTTTACCTGTATCTTTGGTAGTCTGACTCGTCTTTCTCTAGATCCGAGAGCTGGTTTGGGCAGGCTTTATTGCTTAGTAGACTGAGGTATGTCAGCTCCGGAAATGCATCACACAACTTGTTGACTAGATCCTCTAGATTTGTTATCTGTAAAAAACTAAATAATGAGCAAACTCTAAAGTTTTAGCGTTGTTATTTTCAATCTTCCGAAAATAACAACGCTATCCGATGTTCAAAGAAAAATTAAAATATTAAAAAGATTTTGAAAGCGTTTCAACCTTTGATGTGTACGTAAGTACACTAACGATCCTGCCAGATTTCCATAGATTGGACCGACTAAGAATTATATGTATTGACAAGTTATTGTGCGAATGATATGGTCTTTTAATTTATCTTTCAATTCACTATATTTTTTATGTGTTTATATGCAATATTTACGATAATTTCTTCCCAAGAGCAGACCCAGGTAGGAGATCCTCGGGTTCATCATTTTTTTTTAAATATATCCGAGTGCAAACGGGCGGCCGCCTCGCCTGATGTTAAGATGATGATACCGCCGCTCATAGATACAAATATTGCCAGAGGGCTAGCAAGTGCGTTGCCGACCTCTTAAGAATAATTACGCTCTTTTCTTACAGGACTCTTAATAGAGCTGGAATAGGGTTGCGCAATATGACTAATTTTGGTACCATTTATTTATTAATAGCACCACCAGCTTGTGCTTGTGTTGAAAGTACCAACGTTTCAAATAAGCTACAATTTAATGGCATTACCACCAAAAAAGCCTCATGACTGGTGTTCTTCTACCGTTTCCCTTGAATAGGTTACTAATATGTAATATAACTAAAACCTTAGCCACAGCGACGCTTGGCCGGTCTGCTAGTATGTATATATATTTAAGTTATAAATAAACCTTCTTATTTTTATTTTTTTTACAATCTTAGACAACGAAAGTAAGTTAAGTTGACAGGGAAGTATTTCATATTAGAATTAGTCTCGTAATCTCAATAGTAAAATAATAATAATAAGGAAAACATCGTGAGGAAACCGGCATGCCTTAGACAGAAAAAGTCGTGTGTGAAGGCTGATCACCTACTTGCCTATTAGAAAATACAAATGATGACAAAACATCCGAGCCCAAGAACATGAGCTACTGGTATTTTTTTTTAATTATATTAAAATATTATATATATAGTTATTAAAATATTTAATAAATTCGCGCTTATATCCATCAAAATGTTTTATTTATAACGTTTATAAGACACAAATCATTACATGACGTAGACCAGTAATAGAAAACTTTCTAAACCATTACATAAGTTTTAGCACGCGAATTAACTATTTAAAATTGCAAATACTTCGTTACTTAGCACACATTTGCTATCTATAATTTTAACTTAACGTTTATAAATTTAGATTCTATAGATTTCTTAGATCAAAGCAGTTGGTAAAATTTATGTTATTTTAAATATCTGCTTTTTGCTTATGTTGGACTATTTGTTTAAAATGCATAATTTTTTTGAATTGTGATTCATGAACCATAAAATTAGTTTAAAATTTTTTTTAGAATTTAGTTTGGTCATTGTATAATTTTTCATTGTTATTTTTAATTTTGATTTTTTAAATTAATTATGCACGTCTACTGTTAACATTACGTTTAGCTGTCAGTTGCGTTTAGTTATAGCATTTTTTAACAAATAAACGGCTAGACTGATATTTTGACTGTTAAATATTTCGTAATTCTGTTTATTGCGTTTTATGTCCTCCCCACTAATTTTCACTCAAATCGGTTCATGAGGGATAAAAAGTGTAACTAACACTTCTTTTATATATATAAGACTAGCCGTTTCCCGCCCGCTTTGCTGGGCGAATTAAAATAGGAAATTAAATAAAATTTTATGTTTCATTATTATTATTTTTTCATATTTTTATTATTCTTCTTTTTAACTTCCCGCTAAGAAAATTGAAAATTTTCGAAAATCGAGTTTTCAACAGATGTTGACGTTTTGAGGTTCTAGGAAGCCTCCCCGAATGTTTCCGCGGTGAAGTCCGTATGTATAAATTTTTATAAAAGTAAAACAGCAATAAAAAAATGAAGGAACGTTGGAATTTATAAATAGCCATAAACCATCTAGGAAAAATTTCGCATCGAATGGCAGTAGTTTCATGTCGATACGATCAGTGGTTTAGGCGTGAAGGAGCCTCAAACGAAGAACATTTTTCTTATATATATATATATATATATATATATATATAGAAGATAGATAAGATGTAACGAAGTTTTAATAAACGTCTTGGACCAGAATTGGACGTAATTGATCAGTCTTCTATGACATTGTCAAAAAAGGCAGATCTGTGTCTGCCCCATTCCCCTTTGATTCAAACTTATAGTATTGCTTGAAGGCATTATTAATTACCTCATTATTGTTCAAAGACAGTGTCTTCAAGAATGGCAGGAAGGGAAAGTTAACTGTATCGGCTAGTTTGTTATTGTCCAGAATGAGTTCTTCTAGTCTTGTGAATTTTTCCAGCCCCTTCAATGTTTCTATACTGTTGTAACTGAAACCAATTTACTATTAAAAATATCTGTACTTATAGTTATTAAAAGAAGGATAAAAGATATAGAAGCATTAGCAGGAAGCGAAGAGAGAAAGAAAGATTTGGATAGAGAAGTTGGAAATAAGTTAGAGGAGGCCGTGAAGGGGTTCCTATCTGAAGGAAGTTAGGATAACGAATAACAAGAAAACTGTGTATCTTTATATAATTTTACTGTACATATGTATGTCACCGAACTCCTCTTAAACGGCTGGACCGATTTGAATGAAGTTTTTTGTATGCGTTTGGGTGCCTGGATGGTTGAAATTCACAAATCAGCCCGCAGATAGCGTCGGTATCTAGGTTATTTACGTATATAGCAAGTAAACAGCTGGTATATATATATAAATCTTCTGTGTTGTGATAATTTGATTTGAATGATTTATATTAGAATTTTTTTGTATGCAACAGGACAACGCCTGTCGGATCCGCTAATTAAATTGTAATGATTGAAAATAAACTTAATTATTATTATTAAACTATTAATAAGTTACATTTTAAATATTTATTTTACTAAAAGAATTTCTTACGTTCTATATCTAACGAATCATAGACATTTCAGCTTTTTTATTTGTCACATGATCGTACGAATGGACTAAGCGTTAGCCAGCCTGTTTATTAAATAAGAAATTCTAAGGCTGCTAGTTACACGGCGCTGTTTAGTAAAAAGGCTAGGCTGTTAATTGAACGGCTAATTAAGCTAGTTGGCTGCGACATCGACATCACGATGCTACCAAAAGTAGAATCGATTAAGGATTTGATAAGTATATGTATTGATCCAGTGGCGCTACAACGTTATGTATAGTTTTTTTCTATTTATTTCTAGTAAGTAGGTGATTATCCTTCTGTGCCTGAAACCGTGTAGATTTATAACACATGCCGATTTCCTCACTATATTTGCGACCGCAGGGAACAGCACATTGAATGAAAATCCGTTCATGCAAGCAATAAATCTAATAATTTTATAAATAGAGGAATGAATCAACTTTATAAAATGTATCTCCCATAAGCCCTATAAAAAGTTTATTAATACTAAGATTATCCATAGCGCTAAATCATCTGCATCATGAGCACAACCCACATACACCCTCACTTTTACACCACACAACACAGCCAAATTAGGTATCACTTATTTATTTATACTTTATTACCTTATTCAAAAACATACACATATTAAAAATAAAGAGCAGGTTACAAAAGTTATAAGGCAACGGCGGCGGTAATCACTTAGTTAAATGTATTGAATAATTTTTATTGTTTGTTCCCTTTTGTACATTTTTGAACTTCTTTGTAGGTAAATATTATGTATTCCACCTATGGCTATATTTTTAGTGTAACTGTTTTTATTATTATAATTTTACACTGTAGATAACATATGATGTTTTACCTGTATCTTTGGTAGTCTGACTCGTCTTTCTCTAGATCCGAGAGCTGGTTTGGGCAGGCTTTATGTGCTTAGTAGACTGAGGTATGTCAGCTCCGGAAATGCATCACACAACTTGTTGACTAGATCCTCTAGATTTGTTATCTGTAAAAAACTAAATAATGAGCAAACTCTAAAGTTTTAGCGTTGTTATTTTCAATCTTCCGAAAATAATAACGCTATCCGATGTTCAAAGAAAATTAAAATATTAAAAAGATTTTTGAAAGCGTTTCAACCTTTGATGTGTACGTAAGTACACTAACGATCCTGCCAGATTTCCATAGATTGGACCGACTAAGAATTATATGTATTGACAAGTTATTGTGCGAATGATATGGTCTTTTAATTTATCTTTCAATTCACTATATTTTTATGTGTTTATATGCAATATTTACGATAATTTCTTCCCAAGAGCAGACCCAGGTAGGAGATCCTCGGGTTCATCTTTTTTTTTTTAAATATATCCGAGTGCAAACGGGCGGCCGCCTCGCCTGATGTTAAGATGATGATACCGCCGCTCATAGATACAAATATTGCCAGAGGGCTAGCAAGTGCGTTGCCGACCTCTTAAGAATAATTACGCTCTTTTCTTACAGGACTCTTAATAGAGCTGGAATAGGGTTGCGCAATATGACTAATTTTGGTACCATTTATTTATTAATAGCACCACCAGCTTGTGCTTGTGTTGAAAGTACCAACGTTTCAAATAAGCTACAATTTAATGGCATTACCACCAAAAAAGCCTCATGACTGGTGTTCTTCTACCGTTTCCCTTGAATAGGTTACTAATATGTAATATAACTAAAACCTTAGCCACAGCGACGCTTGGCCGGTCTGCTAGTATGTATATATATTTAAGTTATAAATAAACCTTCTTATTTTTATTTTTTTTACAATCTTAGACAACGAAAGTAAGTTAAGTTGACAGGAAGTATTTCATATTAGAATTAGTCTCGTAATCTCAATAGTAAAATAATAATAATAAGGAAAACATCGTGAGGAAACCGGCATGCCTTAGACAGAAAAAGTCGTGTGTGAAGGCTGATCACCTACTTGCCTATTAGAAAATACAAATGATGACAAAACATCCGAGCCCAAGAACATGAGCTACTGGTATTTTTTTTAATTATATTAAAATATTATATATATAGTTATTAAAATATTTAATAAATTCGCGCTTATATCCATCAAAATGTTTTATTTATAACGTTTATAAGACACAAATCATTACATGACGTGGACCAGTAATAGAAAACTTTCTAAACCATTACATAAGTATTAGCACGCGAATTAACTATTTAAAATTGCAAATACTTCGTTACTTAGCACACATTTGCTATCTATAATTTTAACTTAACGTTTATAAATTTAGATTCTATAGATTTCTTAGATCAAAGCAGTTGGTAAAATTTATGTTATTTTAAATATCTGCTTTTTGCTTATGTTGGACTATTTGTTTAAAATGCATACATTTTTTTGAATTGTGATTCATGAACCATAAAATTAGTTTAAATTTTTTTTTTAGAATTTAGTTTGGTCATTGTATAATTTTTCATTGTTATTTTTAATTTTGATTTTTTAAATTAATTATGCACGTCTACTGTTAACATTACGTTTAGCTGTCAGTTGCGTTTAGTTATAGCATTTTTTAACAAATAAACGGCTAGACTGATATTTTGACTGTTAAATATTTCGTAATTCTGTTTATTGCGTTTTATGTCCTCCCCACTAATTTTCACTCAAATCGGTTCATGAGGGATAAAAAGTGTAACTAACACTTCTTTTATATATATAAGACTAGCCGTTTCCCGCCCGCTTTGCTGGGCGAATTAAAATAGGAAATTTAAATAAAATTTTATGTTTCATTATTATTATTTTTTCATATTTTTATTATTCTTCTTTTTAACTTCCCGCTAAGCACATTGAAAATTTTCGAAAATCGAGTTTTCAACAGATGTTGACGTTTTGAGGTTCTAGGAAGCCTCCCCGAATGTTTCCGCGGTGAAGTCCGTATGTATAAATTTTTATAAAAGTAAAACAGCAATAAAAAAATGAAGGAACGTTGGAATTTATAAATAGCCATAAACCATCTAGGAAAAATTTCGCATCGAATGGCAGTAGTTTCATGTCGATACGATCAGTGGTTTAGGCGTGAAGGAGCCTCAAACGAAGAACATTTTTCTTATATATATATAGAAGATAGATAAGATGTAACGAAGTTTTAATAAACGTCTTGGACCAGAATTGGACGTAATTGATCAGTCTTCTATGACATTGTCAAAAAAGGCAGATCTGTGTCTGCCCCATTCCCCTTTGATTCAAACTTATAGTATTGCTTGAAGGCATTATTAATTACCTCATTATTGTTCAAAGACAGTGTCTTCAAGAATGGCAGGAAGGGAAAGTTAACTGTATCGGCTAGTTTGTTATTGTCCAGAATGAGTTCTTCTAGTCTTGTGAATTTTTCCAGCCCCTTCAATGTTTCTATACTGTTGTAACTGAAACCAATTTACTATTAAAAATATCTGTACTTATAGTTATTAAAAGAAGGATAAAAGATATAGAAGCGTTAGCAGGAAGCGAATGGAGAAAGAAAGATTTGGATAGAGAAGTTGGAAATAAGTTGGAGGAGGCCGTGAAGGGGTTCCTATCTGAAGGAAGTTAGGATAACGAATAACAAGAAAACTGTGTATCTTTATATAATTTTACTGTACATATGTATGTCACCGAACTCCTCTTAAACGGCTGGACCGATTTGAATGAAGTTTTTTTTGTATGCGTTTGGGTGCCTGGATGGTTGAAATTCACAAATCAGCCCGCAGATAGCGTCGGTATCTAGGTTATTTACGTATATAGCAAGTAAACAGCTGGTATATATATATAAATCTTCTGTGTTGTGATAATTTGATTTGAATGATTTATATTAGAATTTTTTTGTATGCAACAGGACAACGCCTGTCGGATCCGCTAATTAAATTGTAATGATTGAATACAAACTTAATTATTATTATTAAACTAATAGGAGTATGACAATGCAATCTTCAATAGTCTGGTTCATTTAAGTGTATTTACACTAGAGCGATAAGAACAGAACATTTAGTAGCTATTTCAGGATAAGAGTGTGATTATCGCCTTAAAAACCGGCACATTTTCATTTAATAAACATTAACCCGATTTCTTAAAGTACTATTTACCTCAAATACCCATTTTTCTTTTAAGAAAATTTTTGTACAGATTTTCCCAACCTTATCATTCTCTAGAGGCTTTAAAGGTTTTCGTTTATGAGTAAGTAACATAAACCACGAATCTTTGAATAGAGATTGCATTCTCGATTTCAATGTGGAGTTGTTTTCTCGAAGTTTCGCTGCGGATATTAAAAGAACTAAACAAATTGTAACAATAAACCTTTTATTTTTATTTGTTTGTATTTTTATATTGAGTAATTTAGTGTAGTTGAATGTATTGTATTTCTTTTAATCAAAAATAGAACACAAGACCGGAGTGTCTTCCCCTTAATTAAGACTGTAAATAGTGTTATCGGGGACTTTCTAATGTTAAAAATCCTTATTACCTACTAATAAGGATTTTTTAGTTAGGTTCGACTTAAATAACTTATTAGTCGTAAGGCTAGAACGTAATGTTCCAGGGTGCCTCAATAAAGAGACAATTGTTTGTAACACCGTCCATATACATCCTTTGTCGTCATTTATTTAATTAAATCTCCTGTTTGGTGTGTGTTTTGAGCAGTGTTGGCCTAGTAGCTTCAGCGTGCAACTCTCATCCCTGAGGTCGTTGGTTCGATCCCCGGCTGTGCACCAATGGACTTTCTTTCTATGTACGCATTTAACATTCGCTCGAACGGTGAAGGAAAAAATCGTGAGGAAACCGGCTTGCCTTAGACCCAAAAAGTCAACTGACTGATCACCTACTTGCCTATTAGATAACCAAATGATCATGAAACAGATACAGAAGTCTGAGGCCCAGACCTAAAAAGGTTGTAGCGCCATTGATTATTATTAGTGTGTTTGTTATTGTGATGTATAAAGTATATTTACTATTACGTTTGGTAACTGTTAACTTTAGCTTAGGATCTATCTATGCTAAAGTATCTATCTATACTATCCTGGTACACTGTTGCAAACGGGCCTAAGCCAAGTGAACAAAGTTTTTTTATGGATTACTATATTTTAAAATTTGCTGTTTATTCTTGTCGTATTTAATATTACTGCTTTTTAAATTTGATTGATTCGTGTAACTGTTTTGGGATTATTCCGGCGATGGACAATAAAAATAATATAATAATATTTATAGGGACTATTAAAACTTTGTTAAAAGTCCACCTTTTAATTTCATTTTTAAGACCTGTATATTTCGTTATTTTTGATATTATTATTAAAATGGATACTCTGCACATTCGTCGTACAATAAGTATTACATTCTCAAAGACACCCTTCAGATTTGTCAGACTCACTGAAAACTCTGAATATACGAGGTAAAAGTATTTCACAGTTGTGTGTGACATCGTATGACACTTTAATAACTGACAAAGAGTAGCAGACTGTATACATATATATATTTGGACAAATCGTTACCTGTGATATTGTATATAGTACTTTGATGATAAAAAGCAAATATTATATATATATACCTTAAGTCTAAATAGTTGACTTTGGCGCCATACATGTTCCATAAAGCTGGTGGGATTTTTTGACAGTCTTGACCGCAGTAACTTAACTGTAACAGAATAACAACAACTATGTTATTTATAACACAGTTTTATAATTATAAGCTTCAGGCTATCTTATGGTTCAAGTTTAATTGATTACATGATTTTTTAAAATACAATTATAAAGCTGTGCCGACGTTTCGCATGCTTTTCGCGTTGGTTGTGGTATATCCCATCTAATACAAATGTACTCATATAAATAAGCCATATTCTAATACATAATTATTTTGAAGAAATGGGTACCATGACGCTACTTTATTATTAATTAATAAAAATAATTAAAATGTGTTTATTTATTATAAGTAAATATGCATTACAATGTGTAAGATTTGGGAACCCTTCTAAGTAAAAAATACCTGGGAACCTCAGCTCTTCCATAACAAACTTAATTATAAATTCCTTAAAGTATATTTATATATAATTTAATTACATCTTTTATTTTATTTATTTGAGTGCATGTGTGTGAGTGAGTGAATGAATAAAGTGTGTAACTACATATGAGGTCTCAGAAGCATCTCTAACACTGCGTAAGGTGTGTTCATAAGCCAGTCCTTTAGTCGTATTTTAGATTGTGAGCGAGTAGATATTAAGCAAAACAAAATTCCAAACTAAAAAATAAACTTAAGAAAAGAAAACCACATTATAATAATTGAGATTTTTTTTGCCAAGTTGAGGATAAATATATCTTATTATGGATAACATATGTAGTAGTTTGCGTGCTAATCCAACCTGTCAAATGATTTTTATTGTATGTCAAAGTCCAATACATTTTTTGACATAGTCTTACTTAGCGCACTTTCGAGTTTTTCTTCCTTAGACCTAAAATAGTGTCAGGTTTTTCAAAAAAGGAAATTTTAGACAAAGTTTTTTGATACACTTTAAATCTTCATTATTCTACAAATATTATAAGCATAATCGAAATATGTTAAAAGATTTACAAATAGGTATATAACTTCAAAGACGCAGTATTTAATGTCTAGACGATTTATTTCTGTAACAAATTTATTGAAATTGTAAATATTAAATCATATCAACTCCTGCGAGTTTGTGTAATAAATATTTCGTTTGCATTTTACATACCTACTTCGCTTTATTCAACATTTATTGCCATAAACTACTAAAAAAGCGTAGACTGGCCATTACATCATTAAAAAAAATAGTATAGGTACATTGTTACCACTCTTAACATTCATTCCCGACTTAGCGCTAAGCATCACTCTCACATGTCAAATCCAATTTGTCTGTTGTAACCTCCGATAGAATATTTTGCCATCGCAACCTGGTCCTAAAGGTTACAGGTACTTCATACCACTATCGAGACTAGCAATACGGCTCGACAGCTTAGCATGGAACTTTACGTTCATTTGGGTCATTCTGCATCTTCTACCGCATTTACCATGGCGAATGTTCAGAGGAGTTGTTCGGATTAATACTTGCAGCCTCAGTTCATCTTCGGACGTCGAGGCAGGATACGAAATTTCACCGGTATCACCTCGACGTCCGTCGTTCCACAACTGACCGTTTTTAAGGAAGTTTTTGCCGCGCACCAACACTATGTGGAACCAGCTGATAACTTAAGTATTTCCGGACCAATTCGACTTAGGATCCTTCAAGAAAGGAGCGTACCAATTCTCAAAAGGCCGGCAAGCCTTTAGCATTGAGAGTGTCCATGGGCGGGGGTATCACTCACATCAGCCTTCTGTCTGTTTGCTCTGTATAAAAAAAGTATGATATCAAATTTAATACGAAGTTGTCTATGAGAGCAATACACTTTTTATTCTAATATAAATTAGTATAGTGTGCAATAATCGTAATTCTTTCTTTCAAAAACTTAAGATTTTCCCATTTCCGCTGTTCGTAAACCAATAACGCTAGGGATGGCTGAACGTTAACTACGTTATAAAACTTGTCAAACTACGCGAAAGACAGTTTGACAGCGGTGTTATAAGTGATATGTGATGGAGTGTTTCAATATATTTTATAGACTTTGATAAATTGTCTACGGTGTTCAATATAATAAATCAATAGAAACCACCACCCAAAGGTGATGAGAGTGAAAAACGCGAAGCTTAGTAGTGACTATACAAGTATACATATTTATAAGATCACCATATTATAATATATAAGATTGATTGTTTTAATTTGAACTATCATTTATTCCCAACAAAAAGATACAGTATTGTAAATATTCTTGACCTACAGCATAAACATAGCTTTTTCCTCGCTCAACAAATAAGTTTCAATACAGCGACGAAATGCTGCCAGCAATCGATTCTATACATTAAAAATATACTATATATATTATATACTACATATTATATACTATATATTTATCTTCCTTCCTTATATATTAAATATACTAACTATAACCAAGAATTTATAAATAGTTAAGTTTGGTCCCTGTTGCAGTACCTACAATTGGTTAATTAACTACGTTTGTAACATGAACTATTCCACCTGTTATAGAAAGCCTAATAGAACATTTTTCAAACAACAAAGTTGTCATCTCTTTTCATCACAGCGTAAACACGATTTGTCAGAACGAGATGAAGGAATTATAATGTTCTAATTACACTGATTTATGTTTTTATGAATAAAGAAGGATAGTTACATTGTAATTGTAATAATGGTAATTGAACAATCAATAAGCGTATATGTATTAATATAAAATATCGAAGGTATATTTGACAGGTGCCGGCAAAAATAACAGATAACATAACAGACGTGGTATACTCAAAAAAGTTAAAGTGGAAATAGCGGTCATATTGCCGGCGTTGGACAGGTGGGACAAAAAGACCTTTACTTGGAATGGCCCAGTGTTGTAATATTAAATATAATACTTAATGTAATCCGTATTATGGTAATCGAGTACAGGCTATTTTTATTTATCTTCTTTGTAAAAAATGCGTGATATAAGAGACGTGAAATGAAGAATGTAAAAAACACAATATGTATCCTTAAACCCTATATTACCAGTCGTAACTCCGGATAGACACCATAAGTTGAACGCATCAAATTTAACCATTTTGTCTCCGGTCACTATAGCCGAGTTACTTACAGTAAGGTAAAACAAACATATTTTTCATGCGCAAACTTCAGACGGACTTTTTTTCAAAACGTAGCTAACCATTTTTATTTCAGGGCCATATGGATTTAGGAGGAAATTATCTATTAAGACACATTAGTCCATTTTCTCATCATCATCATCATCAGTCTCAAATTTTGTTACAGACAACAGATCTATCTGCGAAACATCAGAAAATCGTCATGCTGAAATATTTTTGATTTCTATGGAGTAGCAAAAAAAAAATTCGGTTCCCAAATGCCGCCCCAAAAATCTGCCGTCACTGCATAGATATTTGATTATCTTTTTTAAATGCCATTGCAAGCGTTGGTGTCATGAATTTGTCTACTGTGGTTTATACTCTGTCGTTATATCGTGTCTTATAACGGCGTTATCTTTATCGCGGGTCACTTTATCGGTTTTATGTTTGCATTTATTTGCCGAGGACTTCATTACACGTATATGAAATTGCTCTTTGTACAATGTCGCAAAAACATACATCTGTATATGTATATGTTTGTACGCTTCGATTTGATACGGTTGAGTAAGACTCAGAGTCAAGAATTTGCGCTCCAATTCAATACAGTTTCTGACAAATAGGCGTACTTCGAGCTAAGTCTGGTATACAAAAATTTGTGTTAAAATTCGTATGTTAAAATGTTAAATGTATAAATGTGTGTATAATTAGCGCTGTCTCTTATCTTTAGACCTATAAGACTTCGTGTCTGAGAAACGGCTCTTAGCGGTAACACCTGCCCTTACATTTATCTACTTTTTTCTTACTACTATTATATGAATTATTATTTTATTCCAATATTAGAGAATTTGTTTGTAACTTCATATGAAAAACTTCATATCGCCTATGTTTCTATCCCTATGAATCACTAACGAAAACGTAGTTTATATTAAGTTCAAAAAGTTTGCTCAATATCACATAATGAGAATCCAGATAATCCAGACTTAGATTCCTTCTGTTTTTTGATAATTTTATTTCACAGACAAGTAGGTGATCAGCTGCCTATTCTATTCTCATCCCGACACATGACGATTTTTGTGCACAGAAATAAATATCCATTTGTTAGATCTCAGTGTGGAGCATGAAGCTACTATAGCATATAGTGAGTTGATAAATCAGTGGCGCTACAACCTTATTAGGTCTGCGCCTCAGACTGTATCTGTTTCATTATTCTTTGTTAATTGAATAGGCAAGTAGATGATCAGCCTCCTGAGCCTGACACACACCGTCGACTTTTTGGGTCTAAGGCAAGCCGGATTCCTCAAGATGTTTTCTTTCACCGTTCGAGCGAATGTTAAATACGCACATAGAAAATCCATTGGTGGACAGCCGGGGATCGAACCTACGACATTAGGGATACAATATTACGTTTCCATTAATATATATGAAACAGATATGTAGAGGGTCCTTTGGCTTGTCGCAAATTCCATAGACACAGAAAGGAGGGTGCGAATAGGAAGCCACAAATTCCTGAAACTCAATAGTTTACAATTGTACGGTATCAGCAAGGGTTGTGAACTTAAGTGGCAAATCCTACATGTATTGTCAAAGAACATCGAAATACAACGATCAAGTACTCATTAGTAGGAATAGTGAGTTATCTATTGAGGGGTTTGATTAGACGTCTTAATAATTTGTATAAAACCGCTTGAGCGATTGCAATTTGCTTAGCACAAAATTATTAATCCAGAAGTATTAAAAATACAACAGCCAAATTAATTTACAATGTTAACTTTTAATCCATCGTACCAAAATTAGAATAACTGAATATCTAGCCTAATAAATCATCTATTCTCACAGAGACTTTTGACACGTCCAGTTTTACTCATTAATGTTAACAGCTAATTTATATTTAGTCCATACGAAATTTCGTCGTC